AGTTTTTTATATATTAGTATTTAATTATTTGTATATAAAAGCTAGTACCAGCGACTTAAGTAATGTATAACCTACAGTTGACCCCGCACTTTTGGATTTACTCGAGTCGACCACTAGAATAGTGGTACTTTTTCAAAACCTGGTCTATAATGTTCTAATAAATAATTTTTAATTTTAGATTGACATTGATTTCAATAATTTATTTCAAGGAAAATCAGACAATTTTATGGTAAAATTTCCAATAGTGACAGATACAATTCTTAACTTTATTGTTTTAAAAAAAACAAATGATGTTAAACTATATTTGACAGATGTCAATTTTGAAGATGCAACTAGTGAAGATAAAGCACTAATAACGTTAATGCTGCTACCCCTTCATTTAGGTCTGAAAAAATTGAGGGGAACCAAGTGGAGGCCCTCGAAGCAGGAAGTTTTGCAGGGATTTATTCTGCACCTACAAGTATGTTTTAAAGAATTTAATTCCTTTTTTATTTTTTTTATTTTTCATTTTTAGAGTTCTGCAAACATTCAGACGACGTTAAGAGCCAGAAGGGAAAAATTGAATACATACAATGTAACATGCCAGCCTTTGGCAATAATAGTTGGAGAAGATATTCTTCATATACGAGAATCATTTGTCAGTATAAATAACACATTACATAAGGTAACGAGCCCTTTAAAAGCCGTGGATATTGTTTTTAAAACTTTTCACGTCTTTAACGCTGCATATCCGGTAGAATCGGACCACATTTTTCTTTTTTTACAACAGAGTTTGTATGATATATACACAAAATTTGATTCTGAATACAGGTTTGTGCAGGATTTTCAGAAAGATCTAAAAATGTAACGTTCGATTCAATACAAAATTTACCTAGTTAGTGCAAAAGTACAAAATACATTTTAATAAATTAAATTTAAAACAAATATATTTTTGATACCTAATTACTTTTAGAAAGGTTTATCTTTTTTAAACAGAGCAGTAAATATATATTTTGTATTAATATATAAATAATTTGGCTATTATTTAATGTACACAAGGTAATTTGTTTGTGAAATAACACTGAAGATCATGAAATGCTTTATGTGCTTACAAGACAACATGTCTTTAAAAGGTCTAATTATTCATTTTCAATTTAAACATAAACTTGAGAAGGGTCCATATAAATGTGTGGAACATCAATGCTCACGCCTGTTTTCAAATTTAAATTCCTTTAGAAAACATGCCAAAATTCATGTTAATAAAATTGAAAAAAAAATTCATGTAAATAAAATTGAAACAAAAATTGAAAACAAGTGTAAAAGTACTAATGTCTTCAACGAAGAAAGCCATACGGATAACGATATTAATATAAATAGTAACGCTGAAGATCCAAATTTTAAATCTTTAGAACAGCACCGTAACATTTTTATTTCGGAAGTAACCTTATTTGTTTCAAAGTTAACTAATTATTCTTCAATGCCCCGCTCCCTTGTTCAGGAAATTATTGAAGATATAACATCGATTTTCAATTCGGAATATATTAACGAATTACAATTACAAATAAAAAAATGTGTGTTAAATTCCTTTAATGTAGACCAAGAATTTCAGTTTATTCGCTCATCATTTGATAGTTTTCAGACAGAGCATAAAAGAATAAAATATTTTAAAAATTTGGGACAGTATACAGCACCAGAAAATAAAGTTATTGGTTCTAAACTGGTAAGCACTTCTTCCAGTAGTGATGTAGAGCTTTTGAACAAAAATATTACTGTACAATTTATTCCACTTAGAAAAGTTTTTCAATGTTTTTTTGAAGTTCCCGGAATGTATGATAATACTTTATCAAACATAAAAAGTTTAGAGTCCTCGATAAATAGTGGCGTAATTTCAAATTTTATTCAGGGAGACCTATGGCAAAAAAAAATTTTGAATTTTCCAAATAAATTAGTTATGCCACTTTTCATATATTTTGATGAGTTTGAACCCGGCAATGCTTTAGGTTCCCACGCCGGTAGTCAAAAGTTAGGAGCTGTATATGTAACAATACCTTGTATACCACAAGAATATTTATCTAGAACTAATTCAATATTTCTTGCTTTATTATTTAACTATAAAGATCGAATAACGTTTGGAAATGCAAAAACATTTATCACACTTCAGGAGGAACTAAAATATTTGGAAAATACAGGAATCACAATAACAAATGGAAATTTAAAAGTCAGTATATATTTTAGTGTGGGCCTTATTATGGGAGATAATTTAGGGGTTCATTCAATGTTAGGGTTAACTGAAAGTTTTTCTGCAACCCATTTTTGTAGGTTTTGCAAAGCTCCTAAAGACATTACTCAAAAACAGGTCGTCGCCGGTCATCTAAGAATAAAAGAAGAATACTCAAACGACTTAAAACTAAATTTTTCTAAATCTGGAATCAAAGAATATTGTGTGTGGAATAATTTACCTCATTTTCATATATATGAAAATTTTTTTGTTGATATAATGCACGACTTGTATGAAGGTGTTTGCAACTATGATATGAGTCTTTTATTAAACTATTTTATATATGAATTAAAATTATTTACACTTGATGCCTTAAATCTACAAATAAAATATTTCAATTTTGGATATATAGACCAAAACAGTAAGCCTCCACCAATACTTGTGAATAATTTAAAAAATAAAAAACTGAAAATGTCGGCATCTGAAATGCTGGTATTTATGAGATATTTTGGTTTACTGGTTGGACAATGGATTCCTGAAAAAAATGAATTCTACAACCTGTATATCATTTTAATAAAAATTTTAAATATAGTAAACAGTAGAGACTTGCAGAAATCTTGTGCTATTCTTCTGGACTCGCTTATAATGGAGCATCATATGCTTTATCTAAAACTTTTTCCTGATTCTACTTTAAAACCTAAACACCATTTTATGTTGCATTACAGCTTAGTCTTAAAAATGTCTGGCCCTTTAGTGCATTTATCATCGATGCGATTTGAATCAAGACACAAAGATTTAAAATGTACCTCAAATATTAGTAACTGTCGAAAAAATTTGGCACAAACAATATCCATTAAAAATCAATTACAGTTATGTCACCAATTTTTAATTAATGGTTTTGTTACAAATGAGTTAGAGTTTAATGAAAGTAAAATAAATACTGACTTTTTAAGTTCCCATAACATAATACTACCCACTCATAAAACTGTTTGTAATGTTTCTTGGGTGAATATTAAAGGCACTCTTTATAAAATTAATTCTGTACTGGTAGTCGATTTTATCGAACTGCCAATTTTTGGAGTGGTTGAATACATTCTTATAATTGATCTTCAGTGTTATTTCGTTTACAAAGAGCTTAAAGTAGACTATTTTGATGAACACTACAATGCATTTAAAATTTCATGCAAAAATAGTTCTACATTTAAGTTAATATGTTTTGAAGATTTATTTGATCCATTTCCATGTACATTAAATAATAGCGAAATTGGTAAGCAAGTGGTAATTAGAAACCCTATTTAATTGTAATTTCAATTGTTACTTATGTTTTAAACTTTCGTATTTTACTTTTTTTAATGTCTGGGCATTTATGAATATTTTTTATAGTTGTTTACTTTTCTAATCAAATTGTGATATTTATGTTTTTTTCATTAAATCGATCATTTTAATAACCTTGTAAATCCATAAAATTTCATTCTTTCGTTTACTTTTTTCTTTATTTTTTATTTTTACTTTTCTATAAATGGTGGAAGGATTTTAAAATGATCAATTTATTAAAATACGTTCCTAATATAGAGTGTTATTTTGTTTTTGTTTTTTATTAAAAATAGATTTTTATTTGTTATGTTATTGAAAATTCAGCCTTGTAGAAAAATGTTATTTTAATAATTTTAATAATATTTTTCTTTAATTACAATAATAATTAGGTGATTTGAAGTAACTTTTTCCTAATAATTTTAACTTTAATTTTAATTTTTATAAAAAAAACAGTTTACATGATTGATCACAGTGTTTTTCATAATACCCTGAAGGTATTCTTATAAATAAAGGTTTTATATTTTTAAATAAATATTTGTTTTATTATAATAATAAATAATTATTAATTGCTTTTACTTACTTACCCTTTCCCCTTTCCTGGTATAATATAAATAATTTTATAGTAATCCCTAAAGAAATAGTAAAAAATATATAATAAAAATTGCCTTACTGCAAGTTATTTTTTCGCAGAATATAATAAAAACATTTGTAATAGTGTACTAATAAGAATGTCAAGTACTTACTGAATCTTTTTGTCATAATCAATTATTTTAATTATAGTTCAAGAATGTGACTAAATAAAAAGATTTATAATAATTAATATTATGTATGCTTCAGAAACTTTAAAGTTATATCTAATAGCTTTTATTATTATTGTAAAGTATTTTACACAGTGCTATACTAATACAAGTTACCGTTCTTAAATCTTGTAATTTTTATTAATAAAAACTGCAAATATTGTAGGAAATCCTGGTAAATGATGTGCTAGAATATCCTGGTAAAATAAGTCGTATATTCACTTTGTCACTATATGAGTCGGAAATCCTGGTAAATTGTGTCAGTATACTGGCAATTATTGTTAATTTTTTTTTCCGTGTATCGGTGCCGGTGAAGAGCACGCTTAAATTTAAACAAAAGTGAGACGAAGTAATCGCAATTCCTAAAATAAGCAAATACGAGCAAATTATTAAAATGATTTTAATAAAATCCATTTAACAAATTAATAAAATAAACTTGACATGTCATAATAAGCAACGATCCAGTATGTTATTTTTTCATCAGTACCCTAGTAGTACTTCTATATCCAAAGCGGGAAATTATAAAAAAAAATTTTATAAGTTTATAGAGTAGGAGAACTCCGTAAATGGACAAACGATGTGCTTTTTGACACCCATTATTATTACTGTTGAATTATTCAGCACTCGAGACATTTTAAAATATTTGAATGAGAAGGAAACGTGCATTTAAAAAATGAAGAATCCAGACTTACCCTAGCTCTATCCGCACTGGAACAATCTCCATTGACGGCGTCGCTTATAAGAAACTCGTGATGCCTGTAGGCCAAATCTGGATACTTTTTTCTTCTTGGCATTGCTGGTTCCAAGTTAGATACTATTGTAAATGTTTGAAACACATATATAATACATCAGGTATGGGCCAAAAAATAGACAGTATCACACCACACCATATACTAACTCTACATAGATTGAAAATCTAACACAACGTAATAAAAATATTATATCTATAGAAAGGGACAGAGAGATAAATACATCGATAAGTTTTATTCTAAAAAAGCCACATGCTGTATTTTTTGGCTCACCCCTGTAGTAAAGGATACTTACAGGATTCGGTGTGGAAATCGTCGTCGCTCGTCCTCATCACTGGGTGAATGTCGCTCGATTTTTCCGTTGCAGGAGGTTTCCTGACCACCTCTTGTCGCGGACCGGTATACTCATGCCATCTATAGGTACTCCGATATTCGGAGTGTAACTAAAAGGAAAGCAACTCATTCAACGATTCTGCGATTTTTATTGTTGTCGGTCAGTGTATGCCAAAATTAAGGATCAAAATCAATACCCACTTAAAACAATTCGTAGGTACTGCGCCTTTAAAAAATCCATTTACCTACGACTCGTCATTCAATTTGTATTTGAGTTCTGTCGCATAATTTTTTTTATTTTATATTTACCACCATAGCTATAAAATTATTTTCGTGGAAGATTGCTTTATTATTAAAGTTATTTAACCTTTTGAAAAATCAATGGACAAAGAACTAGAATAGCGGATTAACGACAACTGACATATATTTTTGGTCAGCTGATTTTCGTTAATACGCTTCGTCATATGATTTCAGTAGGATTTCAGGTGTAAATTTAAGCTTTAGGAGATAGGGTGTAATGTAATGTAATTATTTAATACTTGCTACATTCAGATAAATGAAAGTTACCTTATCCACTGGCATGCTTGGGCAAGCTCTGCACAAATTCCAAAATGAACCAATCATCAGGATTCGATGGTTGAACACTTAAACGTTTTGACTGGGCTGGGAAGCCATATACACTATGGAGGAGAAGGAGGGTTGTGGAAACGTTTTGAGGAGACTCGCTATTTTCCAAAAACAATTCGATTTCGAATTTTCGGAGCTTATAGGAGCCCCACCTAACAAACAAGACAAATCACACTGTATGGAGAATGTTGCTTTAATACTTGTCGACTATTCCTTTACGAAAATCAATAAGAGAGCGCCTGTGTGCTGGCTATGCGCCACTTGCGCCACTTTTTTTCCATCCCCCTTATCTCACATTTACAAAGGCGCCATCCACATTGCATAACCTGAATCATTCAACCCATTCGGATGAACTATATCATAATGGTATTAAAACAATAAACATTTAGTTGACATAAACTTACATATTTTGATAATGTTAATTTGATTTAAATCAGTATATAAACACTAAACGTATATTGAATAAATATTGTTAAGAAATTTGATTAAATCATTGTTCTATTAGTTAATGGATGCACAAACAAAAATTAAACGAATATGTAAAATAATTGAAGCGATTTCTTTTGTATTTTGTCTTTACAAATTTAAAATATTGAGTCAACATACGAGGTATGTTCAGAAAATAACGAGAATTGTTAAATTTCGCGGCTTCGGAGGGTCCGGTTGTCATAAAATTTTATTTATTATGTTGGTATACATGTTCCCGAAGTATGATAAAAACTTTAGCTGTTTTCATTGTTTACTTTGTCTGTGGCAGCCGCTAAGGTTAGACGTGTTTTATGAGCTCGGCGATTTTTCGTTCGTTAAAAGAAATGGATCAAAAAATTTGTATCCAATTTTGCTTAAAAAATGAAATAAATTCTGTAAAATGTTAACAAAGGCCTATAGTAAAACCTATAAGTAAAACAAGAGTTTACAAGTGGTATAAGAGTTTCCAAGATGGCCGTGAAGACGTTGAAGATGACAAACGCCCCGAATGCACAAGCACATTAACAACCGATAAAAACATGGAAAAAGTGGAAGAAATGGTTATAAACCATCAGAGAAGTCGCTGCTGATGTTGGTTTATAGATTGGCTCATCCCATGAAATTTTTTCGAATGTTTTGGGTATGAAACGCTTGGCAGCAAAATTGTTTCCAAAATTGTTAAATTTTGAACAAAATTTTTGGCTAAAAACAATACTGTAATGATGCCCCAGCCTCCATATTCGCCAGACATGCCTCTGTCTGACTTTTTCCTATTCGCAAAAATAAAGAGAACCTTAAAGGGCCGTCGTTTTGCAAGCATAGATGACATTAAAAGCGCATCGCTGAAAGAACTAATGGCTATCCCAAAGATCGAGTTTTAGAAGTGTTTCGAGTATTGGAAGAAGAGCTGGCACATGTGCTGCATGATGTGCATAATATCCAATGGGGACTATTTTGAAGGCGACAACATTAATGTAGACGAATAAATATTTGTTCCAAAAACATTTTTTCATATTTGTAATAAATGGCGCTGTAATAAAAAAAATCAATTTTGTTGGATTTTTCTTCTGTATATATAATAATTTTTGAATAAAATACTTGGTTTTATTTTTTAAATTTATTTATTTATATCGCTTTAATATTCTGCTAACACTGCTCTGGGATATTCCCAAATCTCTAGATAATTCTCGTGTGCTTGCATGAGGATTAGCGGCCGTTGCTGCTAATACATTAATATCATTATTTCCACCTGTGACTGTTGCTCGACGAACTCTTTTTTTCGGTTGAACACTCCCGTTTGTAGTAAACTGCTTGACTGTACGGTGAAATGAAGTACGTGATCGAATTTTATCCGGAAAACGCTGAGCGTAGATATTAACAGCATCATCAAGATTCCTGCCTGCTTCTCCATAAATCAAAATCATTTCTTTTTTTTCTTTCACTGTTAAAAATCCATTATGAATAACTGCTTAACGAAATGAGGTATTTTTGTTTCCAAATTAATCTTCGAACTAAATTGATTAAATAATGCTAAACTATTTATAAATAGTTTCTTTATACCTCAATAATAATTAGTATTTATAACTAAATACCATTTTTTATACCTCAATTAGGATTAAATTAATTAATTTACAAAATATTGTTTTTTTTATCTTAAATGAGGTATTTTTATTAAAAATAGTACCATAATACTTTAAATTAAAGGATTTAATGCTGGTAGGTAAAAAGTGTCCATGGTGTGCAATTGATAATTATCATAATTAATGTATAAAACTTAAACCAAAGGAAACTTAAATATTAGTTAAAAAATCGTGGGTACTTAAAAAATCAGATTTAATTTAATAAGATAATTATTACCAAAAAAGTGATATTTTTATAGAAAAATTATTGCAGAATCGTATACAGAAGAAAAATCGAACAAAATTGTTTTTTTTTCCATACTGCGCCATCTATTACAAATATGAAAAATTGTTTTAGACAAAATCTATATATTTTTAGTCGATTAATCAGAATCTGCAATAAAAAATAAGGTGTTCCCCCTATAAGGAGGAGAGTATGCGGACCAATTTTAGTACTGATTGATTTCCCCCCTCGAATCATTTAATTTTTATTTTAAACATTTTTTCGTAAATAGTATACTAACTGAGATATTTTAGTTTTAAGTTAAATGCCTATCTTTTATAGCAAAAAACTTATACATATATGTGAATATTTATCCTAGGAACTGTAAAATTTACGGTATGAAGTATGGAAATTATTTAAATGCATGACTTATTATGCGCAAATTGAATTTAATGAATATTTTTATATAAACTATTCAATAAATATAAATTATTATAATGATCCCATTGTCTGAACTATTTTATCTGTGCAAATGCGAAATCAATTAAAATTTAGCTCATACACTGATTATTTATTAATTTTCGGCGATTATCAAAAATTTCGTAAATAACAACAGTCGGATCAATATTAAGTCTAAAAATAGTTAATCGTTGTATCAATTAAACTGCAGTCCATTATTTCACCTGTAGAAAATCGTTAGTCGTTCATTTAAGGAGAATCAAACGTAATTGGTGTTTTTAACTAACATCGAACACAAATTAATGAGTAGGTGATTGACATGGTATTTCTTGAATAATTTATTATCCATTACGTTTCTCTACGCCTTAAAAATACTATGAAATTGCAGTATTGAATATAAATTTTTTAAATAACTCGTCATGACTTAAGTGAACAATTTAAAATGATAACATAAAATGACCATAGACGACTTGTTTCGCGCAAGTCACAAATTAAAATTCAACATAGTGAGATATAAATGTTAGTAGTTTGTTATTAACCTTGATCCGGCTCATACCTATTGCCGAAATATCGAAAACATGATTGAATACATATTAACCCATTATAGATGGATTTTCGTGTGTCTTTTCCTTCTGCCGGCGTCATTTCTTTTCGATACCTGGATGTATTGCAGAAACTGGTTGATATTCAAGCTTAGCAGTGCTCCGAAGCAGCACTTAAACAAAGTGAAGCATGTGCAAAAGCAGGTAAGTTAATTATCGGTTTTTTAACTGACACTAAAATTGCCAGCATCCGCTGCTCCGCCAAAATATTATGTCTTCTGGAAAATTATATATTGTTTAGTTTTTTAAATTGGCCGAAAATAAACTACGTAACGTAACGTTCGGGAATGTTTTATGCATCATACGATTTGCATTTCAGATACGAGATTGGAATGACAATGGTAGAAAAACTAAAATGTGTACGGCAAGACCTGGATGGCAAACGATGTCATTTAGACAGCCGGTCTACAAGAAATCCTTCACGAAAATAGACGTCAACCTGGTCGACATTCTAAATGTCGACGAAAAGAAAAAGGTACATTTTATCTTCTGAATTTCCGTTAATTTATTCTTTTTATAAATGAGAAGCAACTTTTTAAATCGCATTAATTTGACTTGTATGTATTTTTACCCAGACAGCCAAAAAATTACAAAATATATTTTAATATATATTTATATATGACAACATAACGCAAAAATTGTGTTATAATTGGGAAATGTAAAAGTTTTTATCAACCGTTGAAAAATTAATGAATACTGTTGGAATTATCATTTTTTAAAGTAAAAAAAATATGTTTTTTAACGTTGATTATTTGCATATGCATATTAGGGTGATTAAAAAAATCTAATCTTTTTTTTTACCTAATACCTAGGAAGATCCTTCTCATTACAGTTTTTCATTTTTTCTATAGTCCCTTATAAAAAAGGCCATATTTAATATTCATCATTCATTTAATCAAAATTTTATACATATTTTTGTAGAAAATTGAATGCTCTACAAAAAAGGACAGATAGGTTTAAGGGATTACTATAACCATTTGAAAGATATTCAAGATGAAAGTTTGAAGAATTTATTATTTTTGTTTAATAATTGTGTAACACATTGGAAAATAATTATTGTCAAATGATTATGACATATTTTTGTAGGAAATTGAACGCTCTACAAAAAAGGTCTGATGTGTTTAATTGATTACTCTAACCGCTGAGAAGATATTCGTATCAGTACGCATTGATATTCGGATACGAATATCTTCTCAACGGTTAGAGTAATCAATTAAACACATCAGACCTTTTTTGTAGAGCGTTAAATTTCCTACAAAAATATATCATACTCATTTGACAATAATTATTTCCAATGAGTTACAAAGTTGAAGAATTTATTAAAAATATTTTTTTTTAATAATTTGTAACTCATTGAAAAATAGTTATTGTCAAATTAGTATGACAAATTTTGTAGGAAATTTAACGCTCTACAAAAAAGGTCTGATGTGTTTAATTGATTACTCTAACCGTTGAGAAGATATTCGTATCAGTACGCATTGATATTCGGATACGAATATCTTCTTAACGGTTAGAGTACTCAATTAAACACATCAGACCTTTTTTGTAGAGCGTTAAATTTCCTACAAAAATATATCACACTCATTTGACAATAATTATTTTTAAATGAGTTACAAATTATTTAAAAAAAAATATTTTTAATAAATTCTTCAAATTTTGATCTTGAATATCTTTTAAATGGTTAGAGTAATCGCTTAAATCTATCAGTCTTTTTCCAATGAGTTACAAAATTATAAATTCTTCAAAATTATTAAAAAAAAATTTCAAACTTTGATTTTGTATATCATTCAAATGGTTAGAGTAATCGTTTAAACACATCAGTCCTTTTTTGTAGAGCATTCAATTTTCTACAAAAATATGTATGAAGATTTGATTAAACGATTCATTAATAATGAAATATGGTCTTATGCATATACACATAACTTTATGCATATTAGAAATAATAACTCTAGTTATTTTCACAGAATAATGCAATATTAATCCAACGTTAAACAGTATAAAATAATGTTAATACTGATCAAATATTAATTCACACAAATGGCCAAATATTGTGCTGATTGGCTAAAATTGAGTTTGATACTTGGTTGTCTTGGTAATGCGGCCAACCTAAAGCTAAAGTAATGAGTAGACAGATCAAAAATCTATTCAAAAAGTCAATTTTCTTTCACGCTCAAGTCTCGACACGATTTTATTTAAAAAGCGTAATTCTAGATTGTCACAGTGGAACCAATGGTAACGATGGGTCAGCTGACAGCGACGTTAAACCATATGGGCTGGACGATCCCGGTGCTTCCTGAAATAGACGACCTTACAGTTGGGGGGTTAGTGATGGGGACAGGAATCGAGAGCTCTTCTCACATTTACGGGCTTTTTCAGCACATATGCGTCGCTTACGAGGTGGTTTTGTGCGACGGTTCCGTCATTAAATGTTCGCCAGACAACGAACCCGACTTGTTCTACTCGATACCTTGGTCGTACGGCACTTTGGGCATATTGGTTTCCGTCGATATCATGATGATACCGGCCAAGCAGTTTTGCAAGTTAAACTACAAGCCTGTAAGGGGCTTGGAGAACATTGCAAAGGAGTTCGAAGAAGCAAGCAAAAATAAAAATGATAACGAATTCGTTGAGTGCTTACTCTACAGCAAAAATGAGGCTGTTTTAATGACTGGAAATCAAACTAACAGCATAGAAGAAGACAAAGTCAATATTATCGGTAAATGGTATAAACCCTGGTTTTTTAAACACGCCGAAACTGCTCTAAACAAAAACAAACAGTTCACTGAATACATCCCCCTTAGAGATTACTATCATAGACATACAAGATCTATCTTCTGGGAAATACAAGAAATAGTACCGTTCGCTAATAACATACTGTTCAGGTATTTATTGGGGTGGTTGATGCCACCTAAAGTATCTCTAATGAAAATAACGCAGACTGAAACCACCAAAAAATTATACGAAAATCATCACATCATTCAAGACATGTTAGTTCCTATAATTGATCTCAAAGAAAGTATTGAAGTGTTCCACAAAGAAGTCGAGTTTTACCCCATTTGGTTGTGCCCGTTCAATCTACCATCTCTACCAGGTATGGTACATCCAAAGGGAAACATTGAGGAGTTATTTGTGGATATTGGAGTTTATGGAGTTCCCAAAGTTAAAACTTTCCATCCTGTGGAAACCACGAGAAGAATTGAAAAATTTGTATCGGATAAAAGCGGGTAGGAAATTTATCATTAATATTAATTAATTGCATAACTACTAACAGTGTTCCGTATGTAATTTAAATATATAATTCATTAGCAAACACGTTAATTTGTCTCACTTTGTACCACGGTACAAGGTTATTAAACCATCATAACAATTTCGGCAAAATTGTCACATGGCTGTTTAATTGTTTATATCCGGTTTAAAACGGATTCTTTTATAATTTGTGTGAATTTTATATAAATACAGTTTTAAAATGCAGGTCGCAATTTCATAATTAACCATTTTAAACAATAACTTTAATAAATCAAGATTTATTACCATAAAATATGTAGGTACCTATTGTATACATATTTTATGCCAGAAATCTCATTAGTGGACTTTAATGTTTATGTTCTATTATGTTAGATTAAAAGTCGATTTTGATAAAAGTTTAGTTCCTCAGCTTATACAGGGTGCATCAAGTATCCTTCTATGTATATACTATTTTTTATTGTAATTACCCAACTTTTGCCAAATTTAAATAAACTTGTAGCACCCTGTATTCACTTTTTCCATGATTTTCTTTCTTGTCCATCATTTACCGAAAATTATGGAAAAAGTGAAGCAAGACCACATAAAACACACTCAAGTCATCTATTAACAAAATCGGCAATAACTTTTTTAAGTACCTACAGTTTATCCTAGGTGTCAACCATTTATTATAATAATAATAGAATCTTTGATATTTAAATAGCTTGAAAAACGTGTAAAACTTGTGCATTGTTAACAGATTCCAAATGCTTTACGCTGACACCTATACAACGAGAGAAGAATTCAGAAAAATGTTTGACCACACGTTATACGACAAATTAAGAACAAAGTTCCAATGTCAACAGGCATTCCCAGAAGTGTATGATAAAGTTTCAAAGGAAGCAAGAACATGATAAAAAGTGCGATGTTATTTTTGTAAAAGTCTTATTGTTGAATGCAGTTTTATTAAAAGTTTTCTATGTAGGTATTAAGTTGGTTTTAGTTGAATAAACGTTTGATTTTAATCTCAGACAACCTTATTATCGAATAATTTATCAGGTACAAACACAGTGAAGCCCTTTTAGAAACCACAAAGTACTAAAAAGGTTTATTTATTATTTTAGAAAGTTTGAATGGCTTGAAACCTATTTATCTTTTGTAATCTTCCGAGTTAAGTAGAATCCAATTCCTTTTTATCTAATACCTTAAATCCCAAATTAAACAGGCTCAAAAACTTGTAAATTATCTATTAAATGCCGGAAATAAACATTAAATGCTAGATATAGATAAGCAAGATGCACTTTAAAGACAATTATTCGTCTGCGCAAATTAAGTTGTTTTCCACATTTTTCGCTTCAAAAGGAAACACATTGTTAAAAATGTTATGCACTTGTCAAAAATAGTGCCCCAACGAAACACAACCGTTTTTATGATTATGAATAACAGGTAGGCCTCTTGGTCTTAAGCGCATGCGATTAAGGCTACTTTACACAGGTCCGTAATGAAAAAAATCCTCTATAACATTTTAATACATTTTAGGTGTCATGTGTAAAAAATAGTACCTAAATCAGGTGCTAAAATGTTAAAGTACTTAAAGCTTTTTTTTCTTTTGTTTTTGAGATACAGGGTGTTAAGTTAATAAAAAAAGTTTGACCAAGCTAAAAAAATTATGCTCGTGACCATAACTTTTTTTTTATTGAAAATTAAACTAAATAAATTGCAGAAATTTTTTTTTATATATTATTAAACTTATAAAAATCAGTAGCGTACCAAATTAAATTTAATTTCATTAAATTAAGCCCTTCACTCAACACTAAAAACCTAAAAAGTTTTATTACCCATTAAAATACTAATATAATATCGTACTTGTTTCCATGACACGAAGTGACCTTTTAAATACACATCGACAAGTTGTGGCTTTATGGCTCTTTAGTCACGGGCTGAAGTTAGCAACAGGTTTTTAGTCACGGGCTGAAGTTAGTTTTAAGTTAGTTGACAGTTAACTAAATTGAACTGATAGAGCGTTAAAAATTTTGCGTACAGTGCCCATAAAACATTCTCTTCTCTTTTACTGTGAAAAACTGCTTCTATATCGATTGTTAGTCTATTTTCAAGGGATAAATTTTGATTTACACAGAGATTGTAAGTTAGAAATTCTAACAGGAATTCCAATACATACAACTGTCACTTTTTGTACCTTTAACATTTCTCGTGTAAGAATTTTTAATACTTTGTGATAATATTTTGCAATTATAGTAATAAAAAAATCAAAGGATAAATTTAACATGATTTAACATAATTGTATTTTGAAGTTATTTTAATATTTTAAAGTATCAATAATTGTTAAAATAATAACGGGAAATGTTAATGGTGAAAATTACGTCAAAATGTTTATTGGGATGGTTACTTTATTTTCGTATAGATGTCGCTTTATACAAATATTTAATTTAAATCAATTTTTAGATAATATTAAGTATTTGCCGTAGAAAAAGTATAATATGCATATTGCATGCAACTCGATTATACTTTTCTAGGCGCTCATTTAATTAAGCCCTCGCTCGCTAGCTCGCTCGTGCCTAAAACTACTTATGCGAGTTCTATTGACTACTAAAATCTGAGACAACCTATTCCAAGCAGCATTTTAAGTTTAAATAACTATAAATTTACTACCAAGTCAACTTTAAAGTAGTTTTATAACTGTATAGATACGAAAAATTACCAAATTTGGAGAATGGTTTATTTCGTTATTTTACCTACATAATAACCTTTTTGATCTACTAAGAGAATAACGTAATAAAAACAATATAAATACCACAAACTTACGTAAAAATAACTCTATAATTACTAACTGTTTGCTCTCTCTTTCTAAAACATTGACATTCGTAATTTATTTGTTCTTTTAATTTATATTTTACAAAATAGTACTCAAAAAGTAATAAAGGCAACAAATTAAAAAATATAACTTAAATTGTCAAAACTAATAATATTTTGCATTAAAACTTATATTCCCTTTAAATATTTTACGGTTTTAAGAAAAATTATTGCTTTTAAAAATCATTTAGTTTTAAGCATTTTAGAAAAATATTTATGAAAAAATATTATATAAATGTTTAAATAATATGCTATCTTAAAAAATTCATTATGACAACCTGAAAAAAAATGTACCTTAAAGTTTTATTTATATAAATGGTATTTATTACCACTAATAACCCTTAAAAATACCAGGCGAATAGGAATTATTTACGGTTATAAAGTAGTCTTAATATCGTAAAATTATGACTTATGAGTAACATTTACCTTTAAGTAAAAATTCTGACGTTAAAATTACGTCCCTTATAATACTTTAAAGTATTAAAACTTAAGGGTTATTAAAATAGGTAAAAATAACATAAATAAAACTTATTAAATAACTGTAAAAAAAGTTTTACTTCAAAGTAAATTTTTAAGGTTAATTTAACAAAATATTTTCTTAAATTAAGTAAGTAATGTTTAACAATTTTTACGATTTATAAGTAATAATAACTACGTGTTCACTTATAAGTTATTTTTACCTATAGCTACTATTTTGTAAATTATTTGTAATTTGAAATGGCGTCTTTCAGAAATATTGCCCCTAGTTTTACTTAGTTAATTTTTTGGTCATTATTAGTAGTTTTTTACACTAATTTTAAACATTAAAAGTTCCCAGACAATTAGACATTTTTTACAGTTATAAAGTGGTTTTAATATAATTGTAGAAGTAGTGTTTTCTAGTGTTTAACAATTTTTACAATGTTTACGATTTTTAAGTAATAATAACTACGTGTTCACTTATAAGTTATTTTTACCTATACCTACTACTTTTTTGTAAATTATTTGTAATTTAAAATGGCGTCTTTCAGAAATATTGTCCCTAGTTTTAGTTTTTACTTAACGTTAATTTTTTGGTCATTATTAGTAGTTTTTTACACTAATTTTAAACATTAAAAGTTCCCAGACAATTAGACATTTTTTACAGTTATAAAGTGGTTTTAATATAATTGTAGAAGTAGTGTTTTCTAGTGTTTAACAATTTTTACAATTTTTACGATTTTTAAAATGGCGTCTTTCAGAAATATTGCCCCTAGTTTTAGTTTTTACTTAAAGTTAATTTTTTGGTCATTATTATTAGTTTTTTTACACTAATTTTAAACATTAAAAGTTCCCAGACAATTAGACATTTTTTACAGTTATAAAGTGGTTTTAATATAATTGTAAAAGTAGTACTACACGTGTTTTCTAGTGTTTAACAATTTTTACAATTTTTTACGATTTTTAAGTAATAATAACTACGTGTTCACTTATAAGTTATTTTTACCTATACCTACTACTTTTTTGTAAATTATTTGTTATTTAAAATGAAATCTTTCAGAAATATTGCCCCTACTTTTAGCTTTTACTTAAAGTTAATTTTTTGGTCATTATTAGTAGTTTTTTTACACTAATTTTAAACATTAAAAGTTCTCAGACAATTAGACATTTTTTACAGTTATAAAGTGGTTTTAATATAGTTAAAATATGACTATAAGTAAAATTGAGTTTAGAGTGAAAATAATTTTCTTTGGTAAAAATTACGTTAAATAACACAATTAATAAATAAAGTAAAAAAAAATCATTATAAAAACCATTATATTACTTGACAAGATTTAATTAATGGCAGTGTTTAAGGTTAATTTGGCGACATGTTGCCTAAAATTTGTATTTTATATGTATATGTCAACAAAACAAAAATAATCTGAAAAAGTCATGACGGCTAGCGCCGGTCCTGATATTTACCTGGTGAGTAAGTCTGGTTTATTTCAAACTCACTCCTGTGCCCACCATTCATTCATAAAGTCGATGGTTGAGGCAGAAAGTTGGCAGTTCATTCATTACCAACAGCCCCGCAGCACATTCGTGATAAGCAGACTTTTTTTTACATCTGCACCTGCTTCATCTTGCTTAGTGCTCGAGCAGGTACTCAAGCCTAGTGCAAGTACTCTACACCGGTTAATTTTGACTATTTTTGTGTTTGTTTATATGTATGTGAATTAAGAGACATGGATTCGCCTATTTTGTCTGTGATTTTATTTATTTTCGCCAGCACGAGTAAGTACCATAATATTGTTTTTTCGAAGAAAATGTTTTGAAAAATAGACAATTTGTTCGAGATAAAATTATCGCGAAAAATCTCAGGTTACTTCACACAAATGCATTGTTTGCCTTTTAAAACAAAAAAGTTTTACGTTTAATAAAATATTTGCTTATTAATATGTATCATGCATAGGTACATCTTTAAACATATTATTAGGTATTAGTATTCAAGAACACATCAATTAAATTTCCCCGTACTTTAATTATATGTTGGGTTCAGGAATACTTTAAACTGGACTTAAACCCAATAAAACTACGCATCTATTTTAAAAAATTCCTTTGGATAATAAAAACTCGCAAATTCTTTACAAAAATAACTAAGCTAAAAAATCCTATTATAACACGATAAAACTTATTTAAGTAGTATTTTGAGAGATTAGAAGTTGTATTGTTTGGATTTATAAATCTAAAAAGGTAGCCAAAGCAATTTTAAAGTAGCCACACGGGCGTTATAGAATTCCTACTACGCTATTGTAAAAAACTTGTTCCTTTAAATTTACCTGAGTATACCTGCTTGAAATCATAGTAAATTAGGCAGTAATTGTGTTCTCATTCTTCGAAATATCAACAAAATTGGTTTGGGTTGTATTGAATTTAAATTGTGTATAGTAAAGTTTTTCCCATATGTTACACACTCTATATATAAGGGTATAAAATAACACACCCCAGAACCGGTATTTACGGATGCTCAACCAAAAGGAATCCCGATAAGAACGGAAACCAAAACAGGATCCCGGATTTTTAAGACAACAGGTGCTTTCATCAATATTTATAAAAATATTGATTTAATTAATTAACTAATCGTATTCTTGAAACCTTCTTTAAGAAGAAGCATTCAGTTGACCGTGAGTTTTAGACGCATAATATTTACGTGTGCACCTGTTTCATTTTTTCCGAAAGCCTGTTTCGTAATTTCCGTCCTTGCAAAAAATTGGAGATGAGCGATTCGAACAAAGAAGTTTTTTATTTCCCTTCTATGAATATACTTAAAAAATGTTGTTTGAATCCAATAAAGATAGTTGATTAAAAGTTGTTTAAAACCGAGCCCATACTAGTGACATATATACAAGAAAAGTCGTGGGCAAAACATGTTCAAAAGATCTGAAAAATGCGTGTTGTGGTCCGGCGTGGGTTGTGATATTAGGGCTGGCTGTAGTAGGTATGTGGTATTGTTGGCTCCACTGGCGCAGACTGGCAAGAAGAGAGAAAAAGAAAAAAATAATGATGGAATTTCACCACAAGTTTATCTAAAAGCCGCAAAGTTAAGTGTTGTGTGGTAACTACTTGCCAGGCTCTGACGATCAGACCGGTCGCTGACACTATACTCATCGGACCGTAAACTCTTCCTTACGCAAAAATACAGCTTTACATCTTTCATTATTATTATTATTATAATCGCAATTCATATTTAAAAATTGTTTTCTAAATAATATCATAAAACACACAAAAGTGGGTGGGTTTTATACACATTTTTAGTTACGAGTTTTATTAGGCACGAGCGAGCGTTTAATAAAAACGAGTGTCTAAAGAAGTTTATAAAACGAGTTGCATACTAAGGCAATTATAAAACTGTTTTGTTAATAAATAAATAAATAAATAAATTTATAATAAAGCTAACTTCAGCCCGTGACTAAAATGCCCAAAAGCCACTGTTATTAACTTCAGCCTGTGACTAAAACGCCATAAAGTGACAGCTTGTCAATGTATACATCCTATAGGAGTAGATAATAGTATATTATGTATAAAGTTTGATAAACGCCATTTTATACACGAATTTAATTTAAATTAATAAGTGTATAGAAAAGTTTATAAACGTGGTGCATATATGTATAAATAATAATAAGTATTTGTCGCAGAAAAAGTATAGTATACTATACTTTTTCTGCGACAAATACTTATTATTATTTTAAAATGATTTAAATCAAAAAATTTTATAGAGCGCCATCTATGAAACAATGGGGGAATCTGTGTGTCACCGTCAAATGTCAAATTTTTATATTTTATAAACACAGATTATAAAGGTTATAAATCGAAATGTATTTCTTGAAAATTGACAGTTTTTCACAGTGAAAGTAAAGAAAATGCTTTATGAGCCCGAATTTAAGTTATAGTTTACTGCCGGCGAAATTAAAAGGTCAGTACAATGTTCATATAAACTTTTCAAATATTGGCGTTGAGAAACTATTTAATATTTTTGTATTTTTGTATTGAGATAATAAAATAATTTTCACATTTAGTATTATTTTACAAGAAAGGCACTTTATTTTAACGATTGTATGACATTTGACAACTGTCAACTAACTTAAAACTAACTTCAGCCCGTGACTAAAACGCCATAAAGCCACAACTTGTCAATGTGTATTTAAAAGGTCACTTAGTGTCATGGAAACATGTACGATAAAGGGCGTTTTAAAGGTGGGAGTAGAAAAAATAGTTTATGTTTTGTTACAAAAATATTTTTCACTCAACTTTTAATAAATTACCAAAATTTGAGAATACACAGTATACCAATTTATAATCCAATTTTGAGGTTTTTAAACGACTTTTACAAACCACCAATTTGATTAATACTGGAATTTAAAACAAGATTTCTGTGTTTTTTTATGTTAAAATATCCCGTATCTCTCATGTTTACAAAATTCCAAGGCATTCACATTACATATGTTCTATATGCATTATGAATTTTAATTCCCGTGTACCTTTTTTACTTAATCCAAAAAAGTTGTTGAATATTAAAGTCTTTGTTGTGGTTGCCGCAAAAGTTGTATTGTGGGAAATTTTAGGAATGTTGAAGCCACAGTTTTTTCTTTCCCAATGACTAATGCACTTTGGGTTGTTACATTTAATTAGTAAAGAAAATATTACCCCACCCTATATTTATATTCAGACATTAACTAATTAGAGATAAAAATCGTTTCTTATCTTGGGTTACGCCTTAAAACTAGTCAAACAAATATTCATATCTACATAGGTGAATCACTTCCGGATAGGTATGACAAATGGTTTTTACTTCTTAAGCGGCAAATACGTTTTTATGAAAATAAATTAAATTCTTAAAGCATTTAAAATAAACTAAAGTAAATATCATAATATTGTTCTTCGGGAAAACATCAAAATAATATTTTAACCATCTGTGAGATTTTTTGTGTGGTCCAATATTTATGTATTATACTTTTATTACATTACTTAAACCATGGAATTCCACGGTGGAATCAATTTGAGTTTTAAAGAAATTCCGTATATTGTTGAAATCGACAAAAACATTCTGCTTTTGTATATGAATTTAAATTATAATTATTTAAGTTTGATTTCATATTTTACGCTTATTTATTTTTTTATATATTTTAATTTGTTTTTATTGAACTGGATTTTTTCTAATAACAAATTAAATTTGTAGATTTGTTCCGGCGCATTCGCCATTTTTGCAATATGAAAACAATTGATGGTGATAATACCTTAAAGTTGATAAAAAATACTTTATCCGAAATCGGCAGTAAAGTAATCAACAATCGGCAGTAAAGTAAAAGACATCGGCAGTAAAGTAGAACTTTACTGCCGATTTAATACGAGTATTGTATGCAACCCATTATACATTTTAAGATGTGTCTACTGCTCCTTAGCAGCAACTTTTATTTGAATTAAGAGTATATATATTTATATATTTTATAAAATTCAATATTTTAAAACTTGTAAATTATATTCATAGACCTATTATCTAAAAAACATAAATAAACTTAAAAAAATTAAGATATAACCTTTAAAACTATATTCATAGCATCGCCACAGGCGATATCTGCTAATACTTTAAACGAATCTACTCCATTATCTGAAAAAATTTGTTAATATTAAATATAACCTGATTCTTTAAAGTCATCTGATCAATAAGTAACAAGAAAATTTATAGTAAATATACTTTATTTATTATTAATGCATCCCATGGGATAGTCAACACGTGGAAACATCTTGAAACAAACTGCGACAAAATTCAGCCAATACTTAAGGAAATAACAAGGCATCAATTATTATTTTTTTTAATAACTCATAAACTTACCTTTAAAAGTATTAGCCAGATCTTCTAAACCGTATAACAGTTTAGAATCTATTATGTCCATGTCAACATCCATGTTTAAGGACCCATTTTTTTTTTGTAAGCATTCAACGCCATAGAAAAATATTATTATGTACTTACACGATCACTGCAACAGTTTATAGGCAATACAAATTTCCTTATTATATGAAAAATGATGCAAAAGCACAAAAAGAGCACAAACCACCACCACCTTTATCAGCAAAGATGTAAACCACCCACTACGTGATATTTTAAAGTGAAGTGAATCGTCCGAGGTAAAACGCGTTACGATATTCCATTTGTTAATTATTAATATATCATATTTCTTTCAAACAATATGATTTAATAGTTAGATAATGTGACTTATTTATAATAATCATTATTTACGAAATGAAAATTTGGCAACTATTAATAAACAATATTTATTATTAATAATAACTGTGAACTAAATACGAATATAATGTATATTTCAATAAATTAATAAACGATTTTATTTGACAAAAATTTAGTATATTAATAATAAATAAATTCGACCCAAATAAATATTTATTAATTATTGACCCTAGTATTGTTTTTAGACTGTAAACAAATAATTTACCCAAGTAAAAAAACAGTTTGGAAGATAATGGACACCCTAATATACAATATATATAACCCCATACTAGCATTTCCATATTACCACCTTCTCTATTTATTTTTAAGTTTTTTAAACAATTAAAAATATTTTTTTGGAAATTGTGCTAATTAAAATGTTCCTTTCAGGATATGAAACTGTAGCAACGTGCTACTTTTCCAATGAATTTGAAGGGGAATATGTAATGCAGAGCACTTTACAGGGAGCACCTCCTCCTGGGAATGGAATTCACTATAGTGCATTAAACATAACAGTAAACTCAATTCCAATTTGGGGGAACTGCCATAAACGTATAGGAAACAATTTCATTTTTATAGACAAGTAAGTGACGCCCGAAATTTACTCCAAAGAAAAAATTCTGTGGGCTTAAGAAGCAGTACACTTAATGATACATTAATGTTGAAATAATTTTTACAGCGTCAGCGAAACAAGCTGCATCAGATGTTTGCACCTAAAGCTTCGGTCGGCGAATATCTTGCAAGTATTCGCTACAAGTCAGGAAACTTTATCGAAATGTTTTACGAATGAAGAATCTGCTTTGGCGAATTGTCCATCGGAAGAATCCATTCTGAAGAGGGAAACGGCTGAAATTTTATTATTTAGTTAGTAACTCTTTGATTATTTCTTTAACCAATATAGAAAACCCTTTAACTACAGTTTAGTAATAGTTATAACACCAGTAACCATACACATACCAGGTGTGTTTAGAAAATACCGGGAATTGTTAAATTTCGCGGGTTCGGAGTGTCCGCACCGAAAAAAGAAATAATTGTATTAAATAAAAATATACTTGAACCAAGTAAATATATGTTTGATATAAGCCAATCATTTATAAAATTGAATCAACTACACAAAATAATTACCAGAAAATGCAAATATAGTAACCTCAATTATATATGGGCTTCACTCTGCTGTCTGTAGCAACAACTGAAACTTGTGATGTCTTGTAGCAAATAAAAATATACTTCAGAAAACCACCGCACGTTGTCAAACCAACCACAGAACGGTTTCGGTAAATAACTTAAGTATTTCTTATATTTTTGAGAAATAATTGCTTTAAATATTCCACGGTTTGATTCAAATGTATCTCTAATTTTTCCTAAATACGTGGATGTTTCAATAAACAACCCATATATTCAATTCAAATACATCGATAATTTGTGCCAAACCTAGAGATACGTGAATAAAACGTTTTATGTATTTAACCTACTCACAGAAATGTTTCCAAAAACCACTTTATGATTCACGTTTAATGTGAAATTAAAGTATAACAGAAAAAATTATTCTATAAAAGATATTAATTACTTTTCTATAAAAAGATCGATGAGAAGATAAGTTATAAAGGCGATAAAAATTAAACATACAAAAAGCTTTTCCATTCGTAAGTTCTAGTTAATTTCGCATCTTAATATTTCATGTGGAATACCATAATATTTAAATATAACACGAAAGTTTAAGCATGGCTTGTTTAAGAAAAACACCATTTATATATTAAAGTATAAAAATATATATTTGTCATTCAAATACATTATAATATAATGATTATATTAATAGCTGTCCCTTAAAACTTACCGTCGAATATTTCTTTTAAATGCACTAATTTATTTACATTTAGGAATTCATCCATTATTCAGGCTGATAAGTCACAATTTACACATAAGCACAGAGGAGCACATTAGGACCAAAGAGTATTAGGACACCAACGCATAAAATGGAGCCAGTGCACTGCAGTGGTCGGATCATAGATTAATCTATGGGTCGGATATTTGAAACCGTGTCGACTGTCGATTATGGAGGCTCCATAATGGAGCACGCACATACACCATAAACTAAACGACGCGTCCTGTGCTTTGTAAACATCGCCGGCGCATGCGTTGCGGGCATATTAAAATCGTACGCCAAGTACGAAAAAACTTGCAACAAACATTTATTTTATTCGTTTAGCTTTTGAAATTATTGATGCAAATATTTTAACTTTAAAGGTGCTACAAATTTATGGACTTCAGCTAATAATAGACGCATTTAAGCCAAATGATCATAAATTGATTAATATAAATTATTTGATTTAAGAAACTCGTCTTTTTCATTCAAAAATGTATTATTCAAACATGTGATAGATGGATAACAAATATGCGAAAATTGTTAATTCAAATAAATCGTGATAAATTTAATTATACAGGTATTTTAGTCAATTAAACATAGGTCAACTACACTATATATTTGACTTTGTATGATGCAATTTTTTCAGTGCGGTTGTCATAAAATTTTCTTTATTATGTTAGTACACTGAGAGAAAAGAATATTTTTAACAAACGTTGCAATTGTTTGAGCCTGATAGGTTTGAATCAAACAACTGAAATTTAATTCAAAATTAGTGCTTTTGCTTAGAATAGGTGAACTGCTTTGCCAGAAATGGTTGATTCGTTTAGGGTGCTGTGTTTGCTTGGAATATTATTAAGTTCTATGCAAACTTTGTACTGATAGTCATTAAGATTGGGTTTTTTACGTTTGAATAAAATTTATGTAGATTTCCATAAAACGTGCAATATTTTCCACTAAAATTTATTAATGGGTTAACTGAAATAGATAAAACTTATTATAAATCTGCTACCATTTTTGAGAAAAGCTCAGCATTTGCAACAAATATAATAAGTTTGTGGCAAACATATCGAAGTTAATGGGTAATTGTGCTTAGTTTGGAAAGGGCAATTTTTGGAGTGGGGGAACGCCTCTTGAAACGCGTCTTCTCGTGCACGTACAGTGTCATAAAGTTTTAAATTTGCCTCCACTTATACATACGGTTCTTACAAAATAATTTTGCTTCCATGCAAACATTTGGATGAAACGGCATAACGTTTAAGAATATTGTATAAATCGTCGGCCTTATCACGAAGTGGCCCAACCCACAAAATTGAAAACAGTGACATTTTGGGAGAGTTAACTTACGATGGTCTATTCTATTACTCCACGAGGTGGCCTATAGTACAAAGTCTGTACTATAAAAATACATTTCTTGATAATAGAATAAACCATTGCAAGTTAATCTGCGAAAAATCTCATTTTGTTTTTCAATTTTGTGGGTTAGGCCACTTCGTGATAAGGCCGACGATTTATACAATATTCTTAAACATTATGCTGTTTCTTCCAAAGAAACCGTAATTTCTTCAGAAATGCACGTACGTTTAATGGAAATGAACTTAATTGGTAACAAGCAGATATCAAATTTTCCTAAAATTAGTAAGTTTAAGGCAAACCTACATCGATTCATACAAAATCGACTATACTGGTAGCAAGCAATTACCAATTTATCAGAAAAGTATTCAACAAAGAATTCAAACTCAGCAAACTTGACACAAATCTAGATGCGTTTCGTTCAAAAGCAGTTTTCCGGAATCGCCAAAGTGATGGTTTTTTACCATTAAACCTTGGTATATTCCGCCGTATTTAAATATGTCATACGTTTAAAACAAACTTTATGCCTTTCGCTGAAATAAAACCTTCTCTGAAACCTCCCCTGAAGTATGATAAAAACTTTAGCTGTTTTCATTGTTTACTTTGTCTGTGGAAGCCGCTAAGGTTAGACGTGTTTTATGAGCTCGGCGATTTTTCGTTCGTTAAAAGAAATGGATCAAAGAACTTGTATCCAATTTTGCTTAAAAAATGAAATAAATTCTGTGAAATGTTAACAAAGGCCTATAGTGAGTCTGCTGTAAGTAAAACAAGAGTTTACAAGTGGTATAATAATTTCCAAGATGGCCGTGAAGACGTTAAAGATGACGAACGCCCCGAACGCACAAGCACCTTAACAACCGATAAAAAGTGGAAGAAATAGTTATAAACCATCAGAGAAGTCGCTGATGATGTTGGTATATCGATTGGCTCATCCCATAAAATTTTTTCGAATGTTTTGGGTATGTAACGCGTGGCAGCAAAATTTGTTCTAAAATTGTTAAATTTTGAACAAAATTTTTGGCCAAAAACAATACTGTAATGATTCCCCAGCCTCCATATTCGCCAGACATGCTGACTTTTTCCTATTTCCAAAAATAAAGAGAACCTTAAAGGGCCGTCGTTTTGCAACCGCTGAAAGAACTAAAGGCTATCCCAAAGATCGAGTTTTAGAAGTGTTTCGAGTATTGGAAGAAGAGCTGGCACATGTGCATAATATCCAATGGGGACTATTTTGAAGGCGAAAACATTAATGTAGACGAATAAATAAATATTTGTTTCAAAAAACGAAATTTACCGATATTTTCTGAACACACCTAAAACTAAATAACTTAATTAGTAAACAAGTTATGATAACTTTTAAAGTTAACTTTGCAGGAAATAATAAAAAAACATAATAAAATAATTTTTAAAACTTTACTTTACTAACCGGTTTTTATCATGTGGGAAATTTTAAACAAAGTGTTAAATTTTTTGCAGAAACAAAATTTGGCAAACAACAAGTACACTCGAAACAATATTGCCCTATAGATGGAAAATATTTTGTTAACTACGAAAATCCCAATTTGCCGATTAAAAGTGAATGCAAAGGAAATAATTCCACCGTGGATTCTTGTCCTTCTGGATCAACATTAAATTTTAGACTACGGGGATGCACTTTTGATAGCTATGGTAATTTTTTTTATTATTATTTACACACTTTTATTTTGATTTTTTCTTTCAATTTTCCAAAGCTTGGCGGTATTTTAGGCTACTACAATTTACATAGGTGCGATTTGTACATAATAAGATGCTCTTCAAAAGTACTTGCAACAATTTTTATACAACCTATATTTTTGACCTGTATACGTCACCAAAGTTATATTTTTAATAAATTTAATGCCTTTTACGGCAAAACGGTTAAAGTTACAGGTAAAAAGTAAAAAAGTATTTTATAGAAAATTTAATTTCCTATAAAAAATATTTTTTGCATTAATCCAATAAAATGCATAGTTTAAAAGATATGGAGCATTTAATAAATTTTACTGTCCAATTTCGGTAAAACTAATTACTTTCATAGTTGACCGTAAAATTTATTAAATGCTCTATATCTTCTAAATTATAAATTTAATTGCATTTATACATAAAACTATTTTCGTTATAAATTAAATTTTTTATAAAAGTTTTTTACTCTTTACCTGTAACTTAAACCGTTTTTTAGTAGGACATAGGATATTTCTATATTTTTATATATATGTATATTTTTTATAGAGCTCATATTTGATTGCATGGGATCTTGGAAAGGTCTGAACGGCGAATCCTTTTTGGTTTTTACTGATCACAGGTATAAGGATGGGCAAAAACCAAAGTATAGATGTGCTGTGAGTAAATAAATATTCCTTAAATACAGAATATTAATTCATATTTTTTACAAAGATGTACAAAGAAGATAAAAATACCGGTAAAATTCATATGGCTCTCAGCAAGGACTCCACGTGTTTGACTGAATTACACAACTCCACCATCGGCTATGAAAAATTCGTGTTGAGTCCTAAGAGAGAGGAACAATTCCCTGCTGAAGCTTCAGGAGAGTGCACATTTCCAAAATGGATGCAAGGCAATTGGGAACACTTGAAAGTAAAGGAAGACACGTTGGTTTACAAAGACCACAGTTCTTTCAAGACGTATACCATCAAATGCGTTGAGGGGCATGAGCAAGAAAACAGATACTTCATCTACAGTAGAACACAATGGTAGGCTTTTAGTTTTACACATTTTTATAAATAATAAAACGTATTTTTTAGCAATGAGGGAAGATATAATTGCATGAGAATAGCTAACAGAAGCATAAACATATTGGAGTTCCAAATAGGCACGAACGCTAGTAGCAGTTACAATGATGTTTTCACCCTGTGCTCGGACGAAAATTTCGAAAGGGAATCCTGGATAACTCAGGGAAAACTCGATACCGAACCTCAGTTATCTCCTGGTATGTGTCCAATTTTGGGGGAGTACACGGGGCAACTTCCAGACAACGAAAATCTATGCGGGAAGATGTGGAGCAACTGTCAAGCCCCAGACCTGATGTATTATCAAGTGTTTAACTGCGGCACCAAGGAAATCTACGAAGATAGAGAATACCGTTGTTTGGGACATTGGAGGGAATCTGGAATGCTTTATACTTACACGCAAAGAAACGATGTGGCTGCAGGCACTTACGAATGTTTTGTGGGCAGCATCGTAATGGGTAAGGAGATACACATCAAGGAAGCTGGGGAACATTGTCAAAGAGGCATAGATCCGTATAGATACGGCATGAAGCTGGTCAAAGCTGAATCTTACTCTTGCAAACGTAAGCTAAATTTGAAAATAAATTATTCATGGGTTAATTGTGTATATTTTTTATTGCAGCCTCAACTCAAAAACCTTCAATTAGCTATACAACAACATCGCCCACTAAGATTCCTCATACAACGAAAAAAGTTATCCAAAATACGTACTTTGGTAAGAATGAGTTTTGATTTTAACGCCTGATAAACCTGATTTATAGATTGCCTTCCATCCTTCCTCCCGTAGAAGATGAAAAATACAATTGTTCATCTTTTACGGGAGGAAAGAAGGAAGGCAATCTATAAATCAGGCTTTACCATATAGTAACAATTGTTTTAACTAATCTATCTCTATAACTACCTTCTTTATTTATTGCCTCAATAAAATATGTCCTTTTTACTTTCAGATAATTCAATCCCAGACTCAACACAGGAAAATGCAAACAGCTCAGGAAAACTTCAATTTTTCGGTTCTTTGTGTATAATTCTCTACGTATTCCATTTATATCTGTGATTTTACCAATATTATACAGAGTGCTTCACCCTGTATAAATTAACTTCCTCCCAAGACTTGCCGCTGTTTGTATACAGTGTTTTTATAACAAAGAAACCTAATTTTGTAAGTACTTTAGAATCGAATCGAATGAACTGAATTCTGCGTGCATTGTTTAATATTATATTGTAAAAAAGTTTTTATAAATTATGTATACTTATGTTAAAAATTGCTATTTGCTCAAAGGTACTACCTTAGAGTAAGTTCTCTGTTAGTGATGCCTATATTATGTGATGTAAATTTATTATTTATATTTAATAGAATAGATTTTTATAAACGAGTTGGTAGTTCTTTTAATTCAATCCTTAACATTTCTTGACTATACTAAAAAGAAAATAAATATTTTACATCTATTTGGACAAAAATTTTAAAACAATGAATGTATTATAAAAGAGTTGATTGTGTTATATAATGAGATAGCCTTTTTTCTTTCTATTAATGAACATTTCCCAGATATAAAAAGACTTTAAACTCATCATAATATGTAGTTATTTATGTATCGGTCGTAAAAATGACTTTTTCTACTCCCACCTTTAAAACGCCCTTTTATCGTACATTAATTGGGTGGCAGATTAATAAAAATACATTATGGAAAAATATGGAAGACAATGTTTTTTTGTATGTCTTCAAGACATACAAGAAAACTACAAAATATTTTTTATATTCCCACGTTTAAAACACCCTTTATCGTACATGTTTCCATGACACTAAGTGGCCTTTTAAATACATGTATGTGCACTAGGGTGGAGTGAATTTTTTTAAATTTATTAATTGATTTTTCCTATATTATTAATTGTTGACTAAAGGCGTAAAATGAATAAATATCGAAAAAATATTCCAATTTTTTAATATCTTGAGGTGGCGCATCTGTCTCGAAGTTTTGAAAATTCTAAAAAAATATTACTTTAATCAAAGTAATAAAAATAGCATTATTTATAAATAAAAAGTTTATTTTAGTAAAATTAACGTGAAACGTAAACATATTTAATAGTAAATCATATGCTTTAAGTAACTTCAGGAGTGTTTATTGGTAGAAATGAGATCTTTTTTTGCGAAAATACTGACATTTGGTATCAAAATTTGGTAATTATTTTCTGACTTTAATTCTTGTTCTGATGAAACCATTTCTTGCTTCCGATCCACAAACCGAGACTGAAGATTCAGTATACTGGTTATAACCAGCGTTCCACTGCTTGGGTGTGACACTGAAATTTTTGGAAGTATAGAAAATGGTCACCCGAAGAAATCATATCGGTAATTTCTGTCATCGTATTTCATAGTCATAGGTGGTTCAGTCACCTTTTCTGTCGTCCAGTGAATTAACTGGTACAAACGTAATGCTTCAGTATTTAAATACATTTAATAATTAGTTGTGGAAGCTTTAATTCCCGTAATCTCGAACATTTTGATTCTTTTCTCGCCTTTAATATTTTCGGCAATGCTAGTTCTCTGATCGATAGATATATTGTAGGTAACATAGCAAGTAATAGGTTTTCGGGATAAATATTTCGCTGAATATTCTTTATAACTATTAGCCCACGTCAGCAATAGGGAATGTGCTAGCTTGCCTGGATCTTTGTAAGCTATAGCTAATATTTATCCCGAAAACCTATTACTAGCTATGTTACCTACAATATATCTAATAGATATTATCTATCGATCAGAGAACTAGCATTGCCGAAAATATTAAAGGCGAGAAAAGAATCAAAATGTTCGAGATTACGGGAATTAAAGCTTCCACAACTAAATACTGAAGCATTACATTTTTACGAGTTAATTCACTGGGCGACAGAAAAGGTAACTGAACCACCTATGACTATGAAATACGATGACAAAAATTACCGATATGATTTCTTCGGGTGACCATTTCCTATACTTCCAAAAATTTCCGTGTCACACCCAAGCAGTGGAACGCTGTGTAAAACTGGTTATAACCAGTATACTGAATCTTCAGACTCGGTTTGTGGATCGGAAGCAAGAGATGGTTTCATCAGAACAAGAATTAAAGTCAGAAAATAATTACCAAATTTTTATACCAAATGTCAGTATTTTCGCGAAAAAGAAGATCTCATTTCTACCAATAAACACTCCTGAAGTTACTTAAAGCATATGATTTACTATTAAATATGTTTACGTTTCACGTTAATTTTACTAAAATAAATTTTTTATTTATAAATAATGCTATTTTTATTACTTTGATTAAAGTAATATTTTTTTAGAATTTTCAAAACTTCGAGACTGATGCGCCACCTCAAGATATTAAAAAATTGGAATATTTTTTCGATATTTATTCATTTTACGCCTTTATAAAGGCTAAAGTCAACAATTAATAATATAGGAAAAATCAATTAATAAATTTAATAAAATTCACTCCACCCTAATGTGCACATTGACAAGTTGTGGCTTTATGGCGCTTTAGTCACGGGCTGAAGTTAACAACAGGTTTTTAGTCACGGGCTGAAGTTAGTTTTAAGTTAGTTGACAGTTGTCAAATGTCATACAATCAAAAAATCGTTAAAATAAAGTGCCTTTCTTGTAAAATAATACTAAATGTGAAAATTATTTTATTATCTCAATACAAAAATACAAAAGTATTAAATAGTTTCTCAATGCCAATATTTGAAAAGTTTATATGAACATTGTACTGACCTTTTATAATTATAATTTCGCCGGCACTAAACTATAACTTAAATTCGGGCACGGACTCCACTGTAAAGTGCTCATAAAGCATTTTCTTTACTTTCACTGTGAAAAACTGTCAATTTTCAAGAAATACATTTCGATTTATAACCTTTAGAATCTGTGTTTATAAAATGAAAAATATTTGACATTTGACGGTGACACACAGATTCTCCTATTGTTTCATAGATGGCGCTGTATACAAATTTTTGATTTAAATCATTTTAAGATAATAATAAGTATTTGTCGTAGAAAAAGTATAGTTTGCACCTCGTTTATAAACTTTTCTATACACTCATTAATTAAATTTGTGTAAAAATGGCGTTTATCAAACTTGATACATTTACCATTAATGCCGAGGTGCATATTAAATATTATCCGAAATCACATTTAATAATACTAATAATTAATATTGATGATTAAATCAAATGTCATTTGAATGTAGGAATTCCTATACGTAGACACTTAAGTGTCTACGTATACTGTTTGTTGCGACGGTTATTATATATTTGCCCGCCGCGGCGATTTTTTAACCTAATTAATAAAATTAACTTATTATTTTTATTAAGCAACATTTTATGAAAAGGTCCAATCGACCTCTGCGACGGTGCTTTTTAAAAATATTATTTAGTTGCTGCTGAGGAGCAGTAGACACATCTTAAAATGTATAATGGGTTGCATACAATACTCGTAATTAATCGGCAGTAAAGTTCTACTTTACTGCCGATTTCTTTTACTTTTCTGCCGATTGTTGACTACTTTACTGCCGATTTCGAATAAAATTATTTTCTAATCTAGGTAATTATGCGAATTAAATACCTTCGATTCAAGAAAAACTAAACTAGCTATTTTAGATTTATCAAAAATTGTATTCTATCCACAATGGATTGTGTGTAAAACAAAGCCTACAATATATGAGACATTCTTTTACAAATCGTACACCTATTTTGACTTCAGGGTTTGGATTCGCATGAAAATTTTTTTACCGCTTCTATTCAGTAAATAAGCAGATACGTGTATCAGGTTTTCTGTAAAAAAATTGTTTTTTCAGAGATATGTTGATATAAAGTTTTTATGAATTACGATAAAACGATGAATTCTCTTCTACATAAAACCCATTATCTCCGGTTCTACTGATCGGATCGATTTTGTTTTTTTTTGTTTTAAACCTTATTGAATAGGCTTTTCAAATAAATAAATTATTTTTTTTTGTTTTAACTATAGGGAGTTAATAACAGATTAATTTTCGATCGCGTGACAGGACTGTCACGCGCGTAATATTCAAACGTATTAGTGCATGTGGCGGGTGACGTGATATTTTGTATAAGAGTGCCATGATTCGACATCTTTTAATTGGTGACTTATTTGTGCAAATGTCAATTCTGCCAGTTAATAAATTTACTCATTAATTGGAGTTTGTATTATTTAAAATTTAATTTATTTAAAATTATTGAAAATCAGAATTAATTTAAGAAAAGCGCTGATATTTTTTTAAAACGATGTATGAGTTTACACTATCCTAAATGTGTTAGCGTTTCGAAGATGTCTGATTAGGGGGTGTCCATTAATTACGTGAGTCAATTTTAGCGATTTTTTGACCCCCTCCCCCCTTGCTGAGATGTCGTGAGATTTGGCTCAACCCCCCCCTAATCTCACGTGAGATTTTAAAAAATGCTTATTTTTAATGTTTATACGTTAAACTGCTTGATTCTGTTGGATTTATTAAAAAAACATACTTTGTTAAAAATTACGTGATATTTGCCGAGACCCCCCCTCTCCCTTACGTGAGAATTGATGAGATTTGGCTTGACCCCCTCCCTTCCCTAAACGCCTCACGTAATTAATGGATGCCTCCTTACGGCTTGTACCGGTCACGCGCTCGAAAATATTTAATATCTTTCGATCCAAAAAAGTCTCCATTTTTCTAAAAAATTCATTTTGTAGAGTAATAAATAGTGCATAGAACAGTATTTTTTTCATTTTTTTTCATAGAGGGGGCAAACACAAAAAATCTGTTTATACAAAAAAAATATTTTTTTCATATAATAAACAAAACACAAACTTTTTAAATATTTATCTAAAAAGACTATGTAATATGGTTTAAAATAAAAAAAATGAAATCGATCCGATCAGTAGAACCGGAGATAATGAATTTTAAGTACAAAAGAATTCAGCATTTTTTCAAATTTTATCAAAAGTTTAAATCAATATATCTTTGGAAAAATAAATTTTCTGCAAAAATTCCGATATAGGGGTGGGCTAAATTTATGAAAAGATGATGTAAAAAAAAATTAAGTCATTTTAAAAATTTGAAAAAATATGTTTTCTGTAATCCGTACGATATGTAAAAGAATGTCTCAAAGTTCAGCTCTACTTCAAAAGTTAACTTTATGGCTGTTTAAAGTACATAATTATGGCTGTTTAAAGTATAGTGAACTAAACTTCTACTTCACTATTTGCCAATACGTCATGATTTGTATTCAATATTATTTTATTTACACATTTTAATTAATAATTATAATTTATAAACATGATTTATTAAAATATATAAATTTAAGTAATCATGGTTGCCTACTATAAATATAATTTATTGGCAAATGACTCAAAGTAAACATTAAACATCCATTGGGGGTTTTCTACTACAAAAATAAGGAACAAAATGTCTAACCTGTGTAATTATTAGAAACAACAGTTTTTTCTGAGAACTTTTTGAATAAAGGCAACTCAGATTACATGGAATTTTTCCATATTTATTTAAACTAACAAAAAGGTCGTTAGACCCTAATCGTTATTTAAATATTATATAATTTGAACTATATTAACAACAAAAATGTGTTTAAGTAAGTATTAATAACAAGAGTAGAAATTTTTATTTATTGAATTTGACAACGCTGCTTTTTGCTATTTTGACAGTTGTCATCGTGATTTCGTAATTTTTAAAATAATTTGAATAACGGTGTAATTAACGCGTGTTTTTAGTTAGATTTTTGTTGGTATTGTTTTTACTTGAGATGAGTTTCCAAACGAAATTCCCACCGTTGAAGAACGACTTGTTAATAAGAGCTGCATGGGGTGAAACATTGGATAAACTGCCGATTTGGATTATGAGGCAAGCGGGGCGATATTTACCAGGTAATTGACATAAAATGGCGTTTAAAACGTTTAACTTATTCAATTTTATATATAGAATTCCAAGAGTTCAGAAAGAAACATACATTTTTCGAAATATGCCAGAACCCCGAATTGGCCTGCGAAGTCACTTTGATGCCTATAAGGCGCTTTGAATTGGACGCCGCCATAATTTTTAGTGATATTTTAGTCATTCCACAAGCACTAGGCATGATCGTCGAAATGAGGCCTGGAGTTGTAAGTATTTCAAATTATTAAGGTTATGTATTTTATAAAGGGTTTTTTTAGGGTCCTGTACTTCCAGAACCTTTGACTTTGGAAAATTTCGATAAATTAACGCCTGAAGGGGCTGTACAAAGACTGCAATATGTTGGCGATGCCATTACCCTGTCCAGAATGAGGCTGGAAGGCAAAGTTCCTTTATTTGGTTTTACTGGAGCACCTGTACGTTTTCTTTGTAAATAATTAGTAATATATTACGTAATAATGTTTTAGTGGACTTTAATGGGTTACATGGTTGAGGGTGGGGGCTCAAAAACAATGAGCAAAGCAAAAAAATGGCTCTATGGGCATCCCGAACTGTCGCACAAGTTATTAAGCATGTTGACAGATGTAATTATCGATTATCTGGTAATGCAGATACGCAGTGGCGCGCAAATTGTGCAAGTCTTCGATAGCAGTGCTGAATATTTAAATAAGGATCTGTATCACGAGTTCGGGTTGCCTTACCTGGAAAGAATTTTGAAACAAGTCCGTGATGAAGTAACTAAATCGAAGTTGGAACAAGTTCCTATGGTATAAATCTACAAAAATTACGCGAATTTTGTTTAACATGGTGTTTTAGGTTCTTTTTGCAAAAGGCGCTCATTTCTGCTTCCCAGAAATAGTCAACTTGGGCTACAATGTGGTAGGAGCCGATTGGACAATGGATCCAGATGTTGTGAACTCAATTGTTGAAAACAAAAACGTCACAATCCAAGGCAACTTGGATCCCTGTGCCTTGTACGCCCCCAAAGAAGAACTGACCAAGAAAATCAAAAATATGCTCAATAAATTCGCGGGCAAGCGCTACATTGTCAATTTGGGTCATGGAATTTATCCTGATGCGCCAATCGAGTCTGTACAAACATTTATCGATGTTGTGCACAATACCAAGGTTCATAAGTAACTAAGTACTGATTTTTTATCTGTTATTGTTGTTTTACGTTATACTTGTTAATTTTATATTTTCATAATTAACGAAATATTAAAACTGTTTACGTAATTAAAATAAAATTTTATTTTGTGTTGACAAAGTAATGCTTGAATTTTTGCAGATTTGTGCTGGTTATGATAATTTTACAACCCATTAATTGACTATTTTGCGAGTCGGCTTCTTCCGATAAAATAGTGGAATTTTTGTAGAGCCATCTAAGTTCATCACCTCCATTGGGTACTTTAATCGTTATTTTTTGTCGCGAAGTTGCTTTTAAAATTGCTTCTTCCAATTTCATCCGTAACTCATCGAGACCTAAAATATTACTTAAAACAAAAAATCCGCAAAATTATTCAACATTACCTGTATATGTTTTTGATGACACAGCTATAACGTCATCATTTTGTACTTTTTTAACAAGATCACTTTTATTTCCGACACTCATCACTTTGTCCATTAAATTGGGGGCATCAGTTTGCTTACTTAAATCCTTTAAAGTACTTAAAACGTGCGCCCTTTTAAAATCGAAATTGCTACTCGCCAAATCTTCTACATGAACAATAATATCCTAAAAAAGCTGTTATAGTTCCGCACAACAATCCTGAGTTCATATTATGACGCACGTTCTGAGATCTGGAAGTCTGCGCATGCGTACAGGTAAAATTTAGGTTAAAATTATTATTTGTCACATTGACCTTTAAATGATGTTGATACACAAATGAGCATGAGAAATCAAGGTGAGGTAAACTGATCAAAATCAAGGGTGCTGTGCGGGTATTATTGTTTAAAAAAGTATATTATTATACGAGAGATAATGCATAAATCATCCGAGTGAATATTGCGCATAATCTCCAGTGTAATACTATACTATACTATCTACTCCAATAAGTAGATTATTAAATGATTTTTAAAATTAAATAAATAAAATCTGACATCTGTCAAATGGTTAACCTTACTTTTTACCAATTTTAAATGTTATTATAGTCGCCTACTTCCAATTTAAAACTTGATTGGTTCAAATCACAGTGAATACTGAAATCGGCCAATCACTGATGCCTAACAACGTGAATACTGAGTTTATTATTCACGTTGTTAGGCAGGAAATTTATAAGGCTTAACAATATTCACGGAAAAACACCAAATTATGCAATAGGAGTAGATAAATAATGTTTCTTACAGCCAATACAGCATCTTCCAGTGTAGCAACGAAACACTCAATAAGATTAGTGGGTATATCAGAAATAAATCCTACAGTGTCCACATAAAGTATTTCTAAACCTGAAGGTAACATCCCCGAATGCATTGTAACGTCCAATGTAGCAAATAGTTGATTTCTCGGCACCAAGCCTTCATCCCCTGTTAGGGCTTTAATCAATGAAGTCTTTCCGGAGTTAGTATATCCCACCACAGCCACTATTGGGTAGTCCATTTTACGCCTTTTATTTCTCAACAGGGCTCTTTGGCTTCTCAAATCGTTTATGGCACTTTTTAATTTTTGTTCCCTACTTTGAAACATCAATTTTAACGCGTCTTGGTTGCTAGTTTTAAACATCGCACTTTTTTGCGCTTTCCTAGCAACATAGTATAATTCTGCTAAAGCTACCTGTAATTTAGCATGCTTACTTGTAGCATGCAACTTAAGTATTTGCATCACAATTTGGTATCTATCAAAAATGGGTTTCTTAAAATTTTCTTGTAAAAGACCAGTCTGAATTCTTTTTAAATTACTGACATTTATAAAAATCGCGCTTATATGCGTTGTATTAACTAAGTTGGTTAGTTTATCCATTGAGCCAGATTTAAATAAAGTTTTTCTTTCCAAGGTATCTAAAGGTATTGCTATACTATCCACCACACTCCACTTTGGTAAAGTTTCTATTAAAGCTGCAGCTTCATTTAATTGCTCTTCTGGGGAAATACTGGTAATTTTCTTTGGTCCCCATTTTACGTACGGCTGTATAACTAGGCATTTATGACTTTCCCCTAAACGAAAATAACTTTCCGCTATTGAATTATATTCACTAAAAATATATGCATCAAAATCCCATTCATTAATATTATTATGTCTTACCTATCTTTGGTCAAAATGTCATCTATTTGCTTGTCGACATTCCTTAAACAACTACTGGTTGCTAAACCACGCTTAGCCAAGCTAATAAACTTGGTTTGAATGCCCCTTAAAATAATCATCTTGATTTAAATTTCGCGCGTCGCAAGCACATGCAAATGGCCTATCAAACAACGAAAAAATAGTGCTCGTATTTAGGAGGTTATAACTAAATTAAACAAAAGTAAATATGCCAAGATATTACAGACTAACCCTTTGTACATTTATTTTAACAGCATGATAATAAATTAACACGAAATAGGCGAGAAATAATGGAAAATGTAGTTACTAAACACTGTCGGCAATTTTGTATTATGCGCATGCCCGTACAGGAGCGCTAAATTTAAATAATGTTGCGTGATTGGTGTTTAATATTTAATCAAATTTGTTTATTTAAGCGTACAATTTAAATATTTTGTATGGAAGCTATAAATATATTTCAAGATTATTTGTATGCTTAAGTTAATTAAATGTGCCATGTATAGCAAACTTTAGTTTAAATTGGTTTAAAGTACAAAAAAATGGTCAATTAAATAAATAAGACACCTATAAAAGGTACCTATGACGAGTTCCTTTTATATTCTACCTGTGTGGCTATACTTGTAAAATATCAGTGGCGCTCGTATTTTTTCAAAAGGTAATAGATGCCTTTTAATATTAATTTATATTTTAGAAATTGTTTCTTGAAATTTACGACTTCACTTTCTATAGGAAAGATCTCTATGGAAAGCAATAAACCAAACAGAGTACGGCACCTAGTGTGCTGTGGAGAATGCCGTGCTCTGATTGGTTTATTGGTTTACCCTCTAAAACTATGTTTTTTTGAGATAATTGGTTAATACTTAATAAATTAATATTAAGTGTACAATTTTAAAATAATTTGTTAATTGAAAAATGATGGCAAATATATTTTGTGTTCACAATCCGGATGTATTATATCTTTTAACCCACGCTTTGTAAAGGAAGTTCCACTCTCCGTTGTTCGGAAATGATAAGAACTTAATTTTTCAATTTGATAAATAATAAATGGAATTTAGTAGCACTAAGAATTAAGGCATTCAAGTACAGAATTTGATAAAACTGTCCAAGATCAATTAGTGTCAGTGTCCTCGAAAAATATTAAAAACTGACGGGGTTAAAAAAGTGCTAAAGTTTTGTGTTCGTTTTTTTTTGGTGTAATATTATAGTGAAAACTTATGAGCGCGTTTGGGATAAATGGTGAATAGTTTTAGTTTGGTTTTCAAAGAGAGGATAAGGCTGAGTTATTAATTTTTATAGTTTGGTAAGTTTTCTAGAATCAAAATAATATCTACTTCAATTTTAAAATTAATTTTTCATATTCAATTTAAATTATTAATGTTTTTTTAATGTACACAAGTTTCGTTGATGGGTATTAAAATCTTACACCTGAAATTGTTTCATAGAGTGAAGACTCAGTTACAGATTTGGGACTTTGCCATGTGTTTTCAAAAGTGTCTTGGAAATATCAGTAGCGTAACTTAATAATTTTATTGAGATGTATTAAAGAATTTAATCCTGCAATTAAAAGTTTACCTTATCAAGAAAATACGATAGACTTTTATTTTCAAAGCAGGTATACAAAATATATTTTGTCTGAAAGATATCGTGCATATGCCTTAAGTTTATGTTAATGTTATTTTTAGATATAGGTAGCGGAGTACTTAAGTAAATAAAATCCTTGTATTAAATTTAAGAGTTTTATGTATGTAGATTTTAACCGTCTTTTACAATTTTCAAAATCTGCAACTTTGCAGAATTCTTATTTATAGTATTTAAATTAAGTTGATCCGTAAAAACTGGGTTTAACATTACGGGGAATACTTTATGTTGCAATTTTCATAATCATTTTTTATTTTTTATTGTTGCGTTTCTGGGTTAACTACAATTTTGACTTTCCGGTTTCGCTCTCACCATAATGCAAGAATGGCCTCCTCGGTGCACAAGATGCAGAGGATGGTGCGCCACTGGGTTTTAGGGCCTTACAGTACCTAATGCAGTCGAGACGAAACAGTATGTATGGTACTTTGGTCGAGAGAGCTGGGTGTATTTCTTCGTCTCTAAAAGTTTTTCTCACATTTATTTCTAAAATTGTTTTCAGGTTACTGTGGTGTTGTTAATAGTGACTTGTTGGGGCATCGCCCTCGTTTATAGGACTGTGCAGTTTATTATGTTTAAAAAGTGCCGAGATCACACATGTGCACCATGAATATATTTTACAGGCGGACTGCCCGCTTTCTGTGTCAAGATATCTGAGTTGAGATATTCTTTTAAATACATAAGCGCACTTTAGATTTTAAGGTATTCAGGATATACTTTTATGAATTTATATAAAATTATAGAATAAATAAATATTTTAATTATTGCATTCAATTTAAAGGAAAATATGACACAATGACAGCTTTTTCTTTTGAGGTAATTTATAGGAAAATATACCCTACAGAGTCCTTTAAATACCTTATCTAAATCAAGACAAATTAATGAAATAATGTTTGTTTATATGACGTAAGTCAGCTTTTATTAGATCATTTGTTTAGCCTTTCAATTCAACTTAGGGAATAGACGTAAACAAAAATAAATGAGCGTAGCTCCTCAAATAATGATCAATTAAATTATAAAAGGTTAATTTTGTTTTCCTACAACAAGCGCATGTAAATTTAGATTTCTCAGTACTAGAACGCATAATTATGTATGCCTATTAAAATTTAATATGGCCTGCAAAAATATAATTTTTTTGTTTTCAGGAGTGGCCAACTAAGAGATAGCCATGTGGTGGCAGATAGCTCCCCTATGGCTTTTATTAGTTGTAAAAATTATTTTTTTAGCACAAAGTAAGTGAAATATATTATCAGGTAAAAAAACTATTAATAATTGTTTTTCAAGCAAATGCCCAATATCAACAATACCCTGGTCAAAGGCAAAGATTCAGACAACCAGGTAATTATACTAATATTTGATCAAATTTATTACGGGTGTCCCTAGTTAAATGTGTCCTTTTTTGTTTTTTTTTAAAATAAGATCTAAACGTTTGTGAAATTTGCGACTTTATTTTCTAATAGCATCTAGCGTGCTGTGTAGAATGCCATGCTCTGATTGGTTTATTGCTTTCTATGGAAAGTAAAGGCGCCAATTTTAAGTAACTCACACTCTATAACTTAATTTCTTGCTGGGACACCCATTACAATTAGGTATACCTAACACTATAGTGTTTGGATCATTTTTTTTCTAAAAATGAGAAAGCCCGAGAATAAATTTGTTTATTTGATGGTTGTTAGCCCAATTTTATCAGAGAGGTGACCAGTCACCTCCTCCTGATTCAACATTGGATTCGGAAGGAGCAGGGACACAAGGAATTCATCCTTTGACCGACGTCCTCAAGTTTATACCTCGTTACTCGGGTTTGTTTCAATCAACAAAATATTTGTGAATAAAGCTTTCACAAATGGTGAAGGAACTGCTGCTAAGTTCAACTATTAACACGTTTTATTTTTATGGTGGTCGGAATCTTTTTTTAACTCCCCTTGTTATGTTCATACACAGATCTACCCCTTGACATTTATTATAATATATCACCCAACTAATTTCATTTTACAGGCATGACTAAGTCCTCGTCTTAAAGCCCAAGTTAACTCAATTACAATTACATGTTTATTTAGGTCCCTACGAACCAAGAAGGCCACATCCCTGCGAAAAAAGCTCATGTTATCCTGCAACCGGTAATTTACTTATCGGAAGGGAGAATCAGTTGTACGCATCTTCCACATGTGGGTTACACAAACAAGAAAGATACTGCATTGTATCTCATTTAGAAGACCAAAAGGAAAAGTGTTTCTGGTGCGACTCTAGCTCTGGCGAGAAATCGAACTTGATCAAAAGCCATAATGTTAGTAATATTGTGTACAAAATGTACCCAGGGTAAGTACAATATTTTTAAACTATTAAATATTTATTATTTAATATTCCAAATGGTGCGACGTTGCAAATTTTCCAAAAATCGCAGAATCAGGGATATTTTGCGACGTTGATTATCTTGCACTATTTAGCTGTGTTGTTAAATTTTAAAGTTTTGTCAAATTTCCAAAATTCCCAGAATTTGGGATTTTTGTAAGATCTTCAAAATACCTTCATCTTGCATTAATTGGCGGTGTTGCCAAATTTCTGAAAATTCCCAGTGTTTGGGGATTTTTAAAAATCTTCAGAATACTTTAAAAAATAAAAGTTGCTTAATTTTAAATTTTTGTCAAATTTACAAAATCCCAGAATCTGGGATTTTTGTAAGTTCTTCAATGCATTCATCTTGCATTAATTGGCGGTGTTGCCAAATTTTCGAATATTCCCAGAACTTGAGGATTTTTAAAAATCTTCAGAATACTTTAAAAAATAAAAGTTACAAATATTACACTGCTCTTAAAATTCGGAAAAAAAATGGATAAAGTATTTTGATACGCTGACCTTGTAGACTAGGTATTGTTATTACATTACATGAATATCCGCTAAGACATTTCACACCCAAGGGGGTTAATAAAAATTAAGTTCTACCTGCTTGATTTACTTGTAGGGGTGTGTATACAATATTAATTTTTTAAAATAATATTCTTCTACTTAGTAAAACTCTGAAAACTTCCACTGACAGACAACAAATATAGCAAAAAAAATAGTAATACAATATTATTTTATTCGTTGGTGTTTTCATTACGTTTTTTGTAAAACTTATCTACGTAATATTTTTAAACTGTTAAATAATTATTATTTAATATTCCAAATGGTACGACGTTGCCAAATTTCCAAAAATCGCAGAATCGGGGATATTTTGCGACGTTGATTATCTTGCACTTTTTAGCTGTGTTGTTAAATTTTAAAGTTTTGTCAAATTTCCAAAATTCCCAAAATTTGGGATTTTTGTAAGATCTTCAAAATACCTTCATCTTGCATTAATTGGCGGTGTTGCCAAATTTCTGAAAATTCCCAGTGTTTGGGGATTTTTAAAAATCTTTAGAATACCTAATTAAAAAATAAAAATTGATAAATTTTAATTTTTTGTCAATTTCCAAAATTCCCAGAATCTGGGATTTTTGATAGATCTTCAAAATACCTATTTATTGGCGGTGTTGCCAAATTTCTGAAAATTCTCAGTACTTGGGGATTTTTAAAAATCTTCAGAATACTTTAAAAAATAAAAGTTGCTTAATTTTTGTCAAATTTCCAAAATTCCCAGAATCTGGGATTTTTGTAAGTTCTTCAAGATACCTTAATTATGCATTAATTGGCGGTGTTGCCAAATTTTCGAAAATTCCCAGAACTTGGGTATTTTTAAAAATCTTCAGAATACTTTAAAAAATAAAAGTTGCTAAATTTTTAAGTTTTGTCAAATTTACAAAATTCCCAGAATCTGGGATTTTTGTAAGTTCTTCAAGATACCTTCATCTTGCATTAATTGGCGGTGTTGCCAAATTTCTGAAAATTCCTAGTACTTAAGGATTTTTAAAAATCTTCAGAATACTTTAAAAATTAAAGGTAGCTAAATTTTAAATTTTTGTCAAATTTCCAAAATTCCCAGAATCTGGGATTTTTGTAAGTTCTTCAAGATACCTTTATCTTGCATTAATTGGCGGTGTTGCCAAATTTTCGAATATTCCCAGAACTTCGGGATTTTTAAAAATCTTCAGAATATATCTGAAGTATACCTACTTTAAAAAATAAAAGTTGCTAAATTTTTAAGTTTTGTCAAATTTACAAAATTCCCAGAATCTGGGATTTTTGTAAGATCTTCAAGATACCTTCATCTTGCATTAATTGGCGGTGTTGCCAAATTTTCGAAAATTTTCAGAAGTTGGGGATTTTAAAAAATCTTAGAATGCTTTAAAAAATAAAAGTTGCTAAGTTTTTAAGTTTTGTCAAATTTCCAAAATTCCCAGATTCTGGGATTTTTGTAAGTTCTTTAAGATACCTTCATCTTGCATTAATTGGCGGTGTTGCCGAATTTCCGAAAATTCCCAGTACTTGTTTACTTTTAGTGAATCATTTTGCAACGTATTTATTACATAGATATAATGGATTAAATTTAGATTTAAAGTTGAAATGAACATTCTTTCAGCTTGTTTCAGTAGTTTATAAACTTGTACCTATTATTTTAGGACTTTGCATAAAACCTGGTGGCAGTCTCAAAACGGCAAAGAAAACGTGCACATTCAGCTGGATTTGGAGGCTGAATTCCACTTCACCCACACGATGATTACGTTCAAAACTTCTAGGCCTGCAGCTATGCTAATCGAAAGATCTTATGATTTTGGGAAAACGTGGCACGTTTACAGATATTTCGCGCACAATTGTACGGAAAGTTTTCCAGGCATAAAACAGGGTCACCCTGCAAACCTTACAGATGTTGTTTGCGAATCTCGTTACTCAGGAATTGATCCTTTAACTGATGGCGAGGTTATCTACAGAGTGCTGCCACCTACGCCGGCCATATTAAATCCGTACTCTGAATTGGTGCAGAAGTTACTTAAAATGACCAACTTGCGTATTAATTTTACAAGATTACACACGCTCGGTGACGATTTATTGGATAGGCGTGAAGAAATCCAGGAAAAATATTATTATGCCATCTATGATATGGTTGTAAGAGGCTCTTGTTCCTGTTACGGGCATGCTAATAGGTGCCTACCTCTACCTGGTATAGAACCCAAACCAGATATGGTACACGGCAGATGCGAGTGTACGCATAACACTAAAGGAAGGAATTGTGAACAATGTGAAGACTTCTTCAACGATCTACCTTGGAGGCCTGCGATTGGGCAGCAAACCAACGCCTGTAAAAGTAATATACATGGTGGGCACAAACAGAATATTGTTTAATACATTGTTTTTAGAGTGTAATTGTAACAACCACGCGACTAGTTGTCACTATGATGCAGCGTTATTCGAAGCCACTAAACAAGTAAGTGGAGGAGTTTGTGATGGGTGCCAGCACAACACAATGGGGCCAAATTGTGGCACCTGCAAACCTTTCTACTACAAAGATCCTCTAAAAGACATACAAGATCCTGAAGTTTGTAAAGGTAAATTATAATTCGTTTTATGTAGTATAAGTATGAGTATAAGAGACGTATAACCGGCTTCACCCGTGTTTGCTGGGTGCGAATGTCCTTTGCGTCACGTACTGTTCCCTATTTGGGGCTCGAGAGCGAAATACCAATAGTTTCAATAGCCTTTCCCGGATTCGCCGGGCCGTTGCTATACGCCCAGTAGGATCATAAAGAAAGTAGGACGGGAGGGATACAAATTTTGGTGTTTATGGGACTCAAATCTGCGTACGACGCGGTATCCCTAGACCGGGCAGTTAGTATTACTCCAAACATTTGGGATTACTGTTTGAAGTTGGGGGAGTTGTTATTTCGCTGCACGGGCCTAACTTTCTAGTCGTGGTCTACGTCTTAGTCTTGTTGGTGCTTAGTTGCTCCCAACTGTTCTTGTTAATTTGTGAGAAGGCTAAAGTATCGTAAAACGTGAAGCGTGGTCACCCGACTTTTTTGTCTAGAAAGTCTAGTTTTACGGTGGCTTCTAGTATGTTGTTCCGGTGCCTACTGGTGACGTGGGCCCAGTATTTTAGTTGATCCACCCTTACCTGGTTTGGTAATTAATTCGTTTATTGCGTATTCGACGTAGGGTCTGTACGTTCCTAGGGAGGTATTATGTGATTACGAAATCAGCTGGTGTGTTCTTTTTTTAATTTATTGTTCGTGGTGTCAAATGTTTATTTATAGTCTCGTTTAGTTTAAACACTTTATTTTGTTGGGGCCGTCCTCTTAAATTCATGGGTTTACGCGTTTGTTATTGACAGATTTATTGTCCTACTCAGCTTTTCTGTGAATGACCGCGGTAGGGGGCGGTTTTGTTTTTTTTTTGTTGTTGTTTAGATTCTATTGTCTTACTATACTAATGTTACTGATACACTTTGTTTATTGTTTTGTTTTTTTTCTAGTGTTTAAGTGAAAAGTGCCTCACTTAGGGTTTTTAAAGGTACCTGACGTGGTTAGTGTTGCAAATTTTGTGTAAGGTCATGCAGATGGTTATGATTATTTATCGGATGCAGATGGCCTTTCCTCCCTTGGTTATCCTCTATTGTTTGTCTCGTATTGAGCGTCCAATTGATAGGTGATTAGACCGCCCGGAAGTCACTTATCACTTCCTTGACCGTAGGGTAGTTTCTACTCACTGTAGTTCTTGCACTATAGAATATTTGCACGTTATGAATAATTATTTGTGAGTTTTGGCTTGTATGTTTTTAAAAGGTCACAATACGTCTTACTATAGCAAATATTCGAACGGGTAAATTATAATTAGTTTTTTGAAATAATAATAATTACAATTTAGAATGCGACTGTGATCCTCGTGGTTCCCTGGAGGGCGGCATTTGCGACTCCGTGACCGATCCAGAAAACGGCGTGGAAGCCGGACGCTGCCATTGCAAGACCAACGTGGACGGCAGACGTTGCGATCAATGTACAAACGGTTTTTGGAATTTCACCGAGTCTAATCCGGATGGTTGCCAGAAGTGCGATTGCGACCTTTTCGGTACCGTTGACAATCAGGGTTGTAACGTCGACTATGGTACCTGTACTTGTAAGCGTTACGTAACCGGGCGTAATTGTAACCAATGCTTGCCTGAGTATTGGGGATTGTCCGAGGAAGATTACGGATGTAAGCCTTGCGACTGCGATCCTGGCGGTTCCTTCGACAATCACTGCGATGTCATTACTGGACAGTGTAAGTGTAGGGATAACATGACTGGAAGAAACTGCGATACGCCTTCACAGCAATATTTCACTGTAAGTTTGGACTATCAAACATACGAGGCTGAATACGCCCATTCCAGCGGTCAGGTTGTAATTCGGGAACCTTACAGAGATGGCAGGGAGGATAGCTGGACTGGTTCGGGTGTCGTTAAAGCCACTGAAGGGCAATACTTACAGTTTACGGTCGATAACATTCAGACCTCAGCTGATTACGATATTCTTATCAGATACGAACCAACTTTGCCCGGCGCTTGGGAGGATATTGATGTAAGGATTCAAAGGCCTGACAATATCGATCCACATGGTCCTTGTGCCGACTATAACCCTCAATACGATTACAAGAGGGTTGCTCTAGTGTCAGATAGAAGATCTGTTAAAGTGGTACCATCTTCCTGTTTTGAGGCTGGAAAAACCTACACTGTGACGCTGGAATTCAAGAGATACAACTTTGACAAAGAATCACCGTCGGCTTCTGTACTTATCGATTCCATAGTTTTAATACCAACAATTCATAAACTACCTATTTTCCATGGTTCTGCGGCTGCAGATGCCAGGTTGGATAACTACACCAGGTATAACTGCGAACAATATATTTATGAGATTGGGAGGAATGACATACCGGACATTTGCCGAAAATACCACGCCAGTATTGGAGCGTATATTCTCAACGGAGCAGCTTGTAAGCATACTAGCGTTTGTTAATGCATTGCATTACGTTTAACTTATTATTTTTAGCTTGCCAATGTGACCCGACGGGGTCTGTTAGTAAAATTTGCGAATCTAACGGAGGTCTTTGTACTTGTAAAACAAACGTTATTGGTAGGAGGTGCGATCAATGTGCACCAGGCACCTACGGATTCGGCCCAGAAGGATGCAAAGGTACCAACCTAATTAATAACATTTAAAAATTTTATTTATTTATTATTTTTAGCTTGCGATTGCAACAGTATAGGCTCCCTTAATAACTTCTGCAACGCCACCACGGGTCAATGTAAATGCAGGGCGAATACCTATGGTAGAGAGTGTGACCAATGTAGAACTGGGTTCTGGAACTTCCCTAATTGCCAGAGATGCGACTGTAACGGGCATGCCGATATATGCGATTCCAAAACGGGGGCTTGTACGAGTTGTAGAGATAACACTGAGGGTCACTATTGTGAAAGATGCATTCAGACCTTCTATGGAGATCCTAGAATTGGTGTGGATATACCTTGTAGAGCCTGCCCTTGCCCCGGCCTACCTGGCACCAACCATTCCTACGCTGAAAGCTGCACTTTAGATACAAACACAAAGGGAGTAATGTGTGAATGTAGAGAAGGCTATTCGGGCTTCCAATGCGATGTCTGCTCGGATAATTACTTTGGCAACCCTGAAGTACCCGGTGGCTCGTGCGAAAAATGCGACTGCAACAAAAAAATCGATCTGTTCGTTCCTGGAAACTGCGATCCACACTCGGGAGTTTGCAAAAAATGCCTGGACTTCACTGCTGGCGATCACTGCGAAGTCTGCAAACCCGATTACTTCCGAACAGCACCCGAGCAATTGTGCCAACCATGCGACTGTTATTTCCTTGGCACCAATCAAACAGCAGGGTCCTGTGAAGCTGAAGGTGGCCAATGTCATTGCTACCCGAATGTTACCGGCTCGAGTTGCGAGAGATGCGCTCCTTTGCACTGGAAAATAGCCAGCGGCGAAGGTTGCGAGGCCTGCGATTGCGATCCACAGGGTTCCCTGGATTTACAATGTCACGAGTTCAATGGCCAATGTGCATGCAAAGAGGGTTTCGGCGGAAGACAGTGTAACCAATGCGAGGCCAACTTTTGGGGTGACCCGAAAGTCGAATGCAAAAGATGTCAATGCGATTCGATTGGTTCCAAAACGTCGCAATGTGATATGGATACGGGTGCCTGTGTTTGCTTGTCTGGCATTGGCGGATATCGTTGCGATAAATGCGCCAGAGGTTTTATCGGCAACTCGCCGCACTGCCAGCCTTGCGGCGAATGCTTCGATAACTGGGATAGAATTTTACAAGAAACCAAAAATAATACTCTCGATATCATTGAACGTGCCGGAGATATTAAAAAGGTCGGTGCTACTGGAGCTTACACTAAAGAATTCGATGATATGCAGGCTCAACTGGATGAAATTGAAGGATTATTAAATAATATTAAAGATGCCAAGATTGACGATTTGGAAAAAGAATTACAGGAGTTGAGAAACCAGATTAACGAGACTGAAAACGGACGGTTGAAAGAAGTCGAGGGAATATTGGATGACACCCAAGAAAATCTTTACCTTACCGAGTTAAACGTTAAAAATCTAAACGCCAGCATTATTGACCTTAAAAAGAAAACCAAGGAACTGGAAGAAAATGGTACAAAACTACAAGAAACCAACGTCAGGGGTGCTTTAACCCTTATCAAAAATGCCAAGGAAAAGGCTGACATTGCCGCTCATAAAGCCCAACACACATACGAAACCATAAAGGACGCCGATCTTCGTTGTAAAGCCACAGAAAACCACCTGAACTCTACCGAAAAATCCTATAAGCAACAACTCGAAACAAACAAAAACACCTTAATTGGAATACTCGATAAAATAAAAGCCCTCAACAAGGAAATTCCGGATTTAAATAATCTGGTATGTGATGGTCACGGAGATCCATGCGATTCTATATGCGGAGGTGCTGGATGCGGCAGTTGCGGAAATCTATTTTCCTGCGATGATGGTGCCAAGCAGCTTGCTGAAGCTGCTGTAAGCTTCGCCAATAGCACTGAAACTACATTGAAGCAGAAGGAATCCGAAGCTAACGAGTTCATACGAAATGTTTCCTTGGTCAATACAGAGAAAACCAAGGCTTTAGCCCAAGATACTTTCGATAGAATCAACGCTTCATCCAGCATTTCTAATAAAACTTTAAATGAAGCTCATGCGTTACTGAAGAATATAAGGGATTTCTTAGCACAGAATCATACCAAACCAGAAGAGATGAACGCTATTGTAGAACAAGTTTTGTCTACAAACATGAATCACAGCAGAGCTGAAGTCGAGAAGCTAGCCAAACAAATTAAGGATGCAGTCGATAGGTTGACTAATACAGATAAAATAATAGCGGCCACCAAACACCATTTGGAGAAGGTCAACCTGCTGAAAGCACAGGCTTTAGATGCAAAGTAAGAAAATTTGTTGTTTTATTTTTTTAATTGTATAGTGTTTATATATTTTTAGGGAAAAGTCTAAGAATCTCTTGAATGGTGCTGAAGATATAAAATCTTCATTAAACAAAACGAACCAGGCTCAAAAGGAGGCATCTGATGCTATTGATGCTGCCTGGCAAGATTATCAACAAGTTGAATCCAGATTACACGAGGTAACAACCTTTGAGTCAAACCGCGTTGTAAAGTGTGGTAACGTAGAGCGGTGTTATTTATTTACCAATATTTTTTTTAAAATTAATATAAGTGATATTTTTATAGCCAACCTATAAAATCAAAATTTTGGGTGGGGTAAAGTACTTCATTACAGCACCGAAAACGGTGTTACAATGAATCATTATGAACGCAAAATAGATAAAATATATAATTAAACACTTTTATTACATAGGTAGGTACCTAATAAAGCAAAATAAACATTAAAAAAATGCAAATAACAGTAAGGCAAATTTACCCTGAAAAATTAACCGATTAACCACAACCCTTGTATCTTAGAAAAAACTAATTGAAACAACACAATTATTTAACCCCTAATCCAACCTAACCTGTTTTGCTTTAGGATTTAACCCAGTCCTCCTAAAACAATATCAAGGCGAAATATGCCCAGCCATAGTTTTAAAATATATATATATACTTCATGCCCACTTACCTTACAAGTACTTAAAAAAAAACACAATTTTTAACAAAAAATTAAGGTATTTTGCAAAAAAAACCGTTAGCTTAAATATGTAAACATAACCTATACTTTGTTGCCCTGTGCCAGTGTTGCCACCCCTATTACTTTATTAATAGATCTGTTTTAAATCTTGTTAAATATTTTAAATTTATTATTAAAAAAAAAATAAAAAATAAAGAGTTAATTAAAATAAACTTATTTTTTATCCAAAATTTAAGATTTTGTTAATTTTGGGTAGTTTTATTCTCTTGTGCAATTTGATTTACATGAAATTATTGTACATTTTAATTTTATCATACATGTGATTTCGTACATTGTACGTACTAGGGGTGTCAATCCCGAGCCCATTTTCCAATCCCGGGCCTTTCGGGACCAAAGGTAACTAATCCCGGGATTCCGGGATCAGTCCCGAAAAAAATACATCATTAATTTTAAAACCAATTTAAAATAAAACAACAAACAAGCTAACGAACGATATCTTTCGGACTTCACACTAGTCGGAAGGATGGTTTTCAAGAATTCGTAGGCACATTGTACCCACGTTTACCCCCATTAACAAATAATTCCATTTCTTTTATCAATCGGGCCTTGGTGAGTTCCAATTGGGGCTGTAACTTACATTGAAATTATCAACTTTGTGACATTTTTTCAGGTTTGACGTTTAAAATATGTTATATTATAGGTTGTGTACATAAATTTATTCTACAGTGACCTAGGTGTAATTTTACATTTTCTTTGCTGATTTTATGCTATAGATGACACCACTCTTGCTATGTAATTTCAATGTATTTTCATTATTGTACGGCGGTGTATAATAATTTGACTTGAACTGAGTAAAAAAATGAAGTGTTTATATATATGCTTATGAGTATTATAATATGAAAAATGTTATACGCTTAAAAAAAAGTCTATTTTATTCTTTGTAACTTATTACTAAGATCCCGGGATTGGGACTTTTAATCCCGGGATATTCGGGATCGGATTTTTTACGGGATCCCGGGACCCCGGGATTTCGGGATCCCGGGATTGACACCCCTAGTACGTACGTATAATTATTATCGTATGAAAATCTATGGAAAATTATCGTACGTTTGGCAACACTGCTTGAGTGTTTGACGTTTGTTGTGTGCTTAAATTTGTGTTTAAAAAGTTTTTATTAAAATAGCATAAGCATATGCTTATGCTTATGATATCATGCACAGATTATAAAGCATCATGTAAAAATTCAATTTTATTCTAATGACATCGGTAAAACGTCAAAGAATCAAAAAAATTTAAGTCTATTACCAAAAATCCCAAATCTATTACATTTTGACGCATGCGTCTATTACGAAAAAAAAGTTATAGGTGGCAACACTGCCCTGTGCTTAATATAAATCCAGTGTTGCCTGTTTGGACTCGATCAAATTTAGTAAAACTAATCGAAAAACGATTCAAAGTGTTTTTTGCTTAGTTATTATCTACAAATGTTTACAATTTGTACAATTATTATTTTTAGATTGGAAATAAAACTCAAGAGGCAAAAACCACCACTTCAGCAATTACTACGAACATTCAAAGGATGAAGGAACGGCTTAACGACTTGCAGAACAACATCACAAATAACGGGATATATGCGGATAAAATAATCAACGAATCCGCGCATATATTGAAAAACGCCGAAACGACTCAAAAGGAATTCGACCAATTAAAAAAGAAGTACGCTGACGCTAAAAACAACCTGCACAAAGAATTGTCAAGGGTGAAAACTGCGAAGGAGAAATCAAAAGAATTAATAACGAAAGCCTTAAGTTTGGGGGCGAAGGTGACAAAAACTCAGGAGGACATCGAGAAATTGGAGAAGACGTCCAAAGACGACGTCCTGAATCATTTGCAAAACAAATTGGATCGTCTTATTAAAGAGATGAACGGCCACACTGAGGAGTTGGAGCGAAAAGTCAACTACTACGAGGAATGTACAACTGCCTAGAGATAGAAACTAATTATTTTATTCTTATAGTGCCAATGAGCTTGTACATATATTTTTTATACCTATGTTGTAGATCCTAATATATATTTTTAATTCGAAATTATTTTCCTTGAATTACTAATTAATGTTAATCACTGCCGATTTTGTGGGCACTGTATTTATTGATTTTAAGTATAAAGTAGTTGTTGGTTAATAAATTTTCATCGAAAAGTTTTTTACGTCTGTGAATAAAAGATTTCAGCAAATTTTAAAATTGCTTTTTACTTATTGCACAATTTAGGTAGGCATTTGTTTTTATATGGTTTATAGTATTGACCACTTTAAGTTAAAAAAAAACGTTCTGATTTTGTAAATATTTAAAAAAATTAAGTAAAAGAAATCGGCAGTAAAGTAGAACTTTTCTGCCGATTTAATACGAGTATTGTATGCAACCCATTATACATTTTAAGATGTGTCTACTGCTCCTCAGCAGCAACTAAATAATATTAAAAAAAGCACTGTAGCGGAGGTCGATTGCACCCTTTCATAAAATGTTGCTTAATAAAAATAATAAGTTAATTTTATTAATTAGATTAAAAAATCGCCGCGGCAGGCAAATATATAATAACCGTTGAAACAAACACTTCCTAAATGACATTTGATTTGATCATCAAATGACATTTGATTTAATCATCAATATTAATTATTAGTATACGTATTTTTTATCACGAATGTGGAAATTATTTGCCGAGGCAAATAACCACGTGAGTGATAAAAAATGGCTTTAATGCCGAGGTGCATATTAAATTTGATTTTATCTCTGATTTGATCCGAAATCAGATTTAATTATACCTATAATTAAATCTGATTTCGGATCAAATTTAATATGCACCTCGGCATTAAAGCCATTTTTTATCACTCACGTGGTTATTTGCCTCGGCAAATAATTTCCACATTCGTGATAAAAAATACGACTTTACTGCCTTGTTACATAAATAACTATTTTTCTGTTGTATAAAAAAATTTGAAAATGTAAAAGGTGGTAGATTTATGGAATGCCCCAAATATATCAAGGGGGTCTGGTGGGTTTATTGCTTTTTGTAGAGATTATTTTCCATAGAAAGTAAAGTCCCTAATTTCAAGACTTTTTTACTTACCATATTGCACAATTTTTTGTTGGGAAATTGAAATAAAACCAGACGATTGATGATTTGACTGTTTATTAGTTATTAAAAAAACACTTAATACGTTTGAGTAAATTAAATTAATATCAGTATATGAGATTTCTAAACATATTTACACTGGACTAGAACATTTTGCTCTCTTACAAATTTAAAACATTAGTGTGAATTACAATTATATACAAGTGTAAGAAGAATTTTGGCAACAAAAAAGTGTTGCACTAAAATTAATAAAAGAGAGCTAGTTAAAAAGGCAACTTTAATGTTCTCAAATAAAAAATGCCCGGAATAGCCGGGGATTTTCTAAATCAACCTGTTAAAAAATCCAATTCTATAAAGGAATGATTAAAAGATTAAATGCAATAATAATTTTGATGATCAATTAACAGTTGATTTCAATTAGAGACAATACACTCAAGCTAAAATTCAATTCAATAAGCTCACATACAAACAATAAATGAACATTAAGTTTGCCCTTAGCCTTATGAAAGTATAAAAAATATTAAGTGTACACAATGGGCGAAAAAATTATAGACAGCCATAGTTATTAATATATTTGGTAACACTTATAATGGTGAAAATGTATTTGGTTATTTGCTAACTTTATAAAACGACACATACTATTTATTAGTTATAAGTGTCCGTTTTTTAATTTTTAAAAGTAGTACATCAAGTTTTTAAAACACCTCTTATCCTAACTGATCAGATCAGTATTCTAAATTATTGTATACTATACAGGGCGACTCGTTATCTCGAAGCCAAATCCACACTTAATACGTAGTTCTAGTTAAATTAGCCTAGTTTAATATTTTATAATTCGCCATTGACTAGCTTAACGTACGATAGTATGTATATGTTTTAAAGTCTTATAATTAGGATTACAATCGAATCATTCGTATCTCCTCATTCAACACTAACTAGCTAGTCAGACATTCAGAATATTACACTGAAGGACACGAAAAAAGGCTTCTTTGGGTAGCATTGCTACTTTAAAAATTATTAATAAAAAAGGAGCATGTAAAATGCTTTAATATAAATGTATAAATGATAATAGAAAAAAATACAGTCATTTTTTTTAAATGCTAGTAGCGTATAAAGGCCGATTTTTCGTTTTTTTCACTACTAGTTTTTGGCTGTAAGGTATTAAATACACTGCGCGTCAAAATTAATGCATAATAAGTTAAAAAAACTTATATGTCTAAAACGCATTTACCAATCTTTATGAAATTTTGTATAAAAATACTTTAACTTATATCTCAGTTTACGTGTTCGAGGGTTTTTCGAGAAATTATTTTTAAAGCCCTTTTATTTGATATTAAAAAAAACATTAGAAAAATAAGTTTTAGGGAATTTTTGTTAAGTAAATAAAAAATATGCTGTGAAAGACCGTATGTTTGTTAGTATACCCTGAACATTTTGTACAAAAACAGTAACGAAGATACAGCTCTTCAAAGTCGGTAAAAATGACCCCTTTTTGATTATTTTCCTTGAAGCGCTGTATTTTCGTTACTGTTCGTTTGATTTGTAAATTTTCAGGGTATACTAAAAAAAATACTTTCACAGCATATTTATTTCCTATAAAAGATTTTTTCGAGCGTTTTTTATAATTAGACAAAATGGCTTTAAGGATATTTTCTCGAAAAACCCTTGAACACGTAAACTGAGGTTTAAGTATTTTTATTCAAAATTTTATGAAGATTGGTAAAGGCGTTTAAGAGTTGGATTTTATTTACTTATTATTACATTTAATTAATAAATTGCATTATTAAGGTTAATTTTCGTTTAATTATTAATTTTAACCTTAAAAATGCATTTAGTGACGACAAACTTTCAAAGATTTTATATTTCGTTGCCATACGTCTAAAATCATAGAGAATAGTAAAAATTTAGTCACGTAGTGTGCGTTGAAGAATGCCGTGCTCTGATTGGTTGTCATTGCTTTCTGTGGAAATTGATTTACCAATCAAAGCAATGCGTTCTCTGTCTCAATCTAGTGTGCGGTGGAGAATGCCGTGTTATGATTGGTTAATCATTTCCTTGGAAAGAAGACACGATAAATAATTAAAGAACTTTTTTCGTGTTCCCCTGTGCTATTGAAATTTGTGATTTGCTTATCGAGGCTAGCTTAGTGGGTAATCTTGGTGGTGGTATACGTTTACATTAGCCCTATATATATATGTGTATAACTTACAAACAGTACGAATTGCTTTTTATAAAATTAGCGGTTATTTTTGGACATGCACAATTAAATTTTTTCTCGAAAAACAATTGATTAAATAGTTATTTAGGTAGGTAGGTAGGTAATAAGGACAAATTTAGTCCGGAAAATGTTGATATTTACACCTCAGTGGACTTAACAACTGTAATATTGCTTTGGTGTTTTTTATTGAACAAGCCACCAAGGAAACTTTGGTGGTTGTGAAGTCCGGGCTTCGCGACTTTATTTGCTAATTTATCCGATCTGGAGCATGTGCTTGCTGAAGTCGATTGGAACGAAACTGACATACCGCTATCCAAGGATCCCACACTACCTCGACGTTGTGCTTTTTCGCCTGCAACTACATTGTCGTGAATCTAGTGTTAAACTGTCGCCGCAAGTGCTACACTTACATTGTTCGTGAATGTCCAGCAACGAGTTGCTTAGCGCCGAGCGCTTTATGTCGTGCGGCACTTCCTCCACGCTGCACACGTTATTAGCGCTCATTGCCGGATTCTGCGAGTACGGACACTGACATGGACAAACTTCCACATCCGCAACTCCACTATCTCGATTTTCAGTTCCTAAGCGACAAAACAAGCAAACATTAATACACAACCTCAACAACGATATTTTAAACAAATATTAGAAATAAAATACACGATACCCAAAAACCTGTATACGCTAAATAAGTATCGGGTTTTCGCAACGCGAGCGCCATCTGGTGGACTTCGACAGCATTGCGTGAATTTAAGAATTGTCAACAATACATTTAAAGCACAAATTATACAGGAGTCTTACTCGACAAATTTCATTCAATTGCACAGCTAAATCGCGCACGTTATTTGTGTTTTACGTTGCAAGGAAAAAATTAAAAATAGTTATTTATGTCATTAGGTTAAGAAGTAAGGCTTTTTGTGCTAAGCTCAAGGTTTGAAGGCCGACGCGTAGCGAAGCACAAAAAGGCACTCCTTGGCCGAATGGCATACAAGCTTTTATCTTCAAAGCACTCTATATAGGTCAATTTAATTCATACATCAAAGCGGCCTAACCTCACTTTTTTAGAATCTCATTTATTTATTAGCTAGAGATTACATTAAATGTACAATAATTATTATTGCTTTTGGAAGCAGCAATAGTTTGAAACTACCTAGCAACATGATTTAAGTAGAAATGGATTTTTGCTATTACATTGAATTCAATTAATTGTTTAATAAATAGGTAGGTATCTAATTTCAATTTGTTTGTATTTTTATTTCAAAAATAGGTAGTTTGAAATGTTTAAGCTGTGTTTAACATTTAATTTCACTGAAAACTGAAAGAAAATTAAAACTTAAAGATAATTTAAATCGTAGAAAAAGAATCGTGCGTTTTCTTGGTTGCCTAACCTCACTTTTTGTTTTATTATTCATATTTAATTTTACAATAATTTAATGAAAAATATTAAACATTAACAGTAAAACAAACAATTTAGTGCTTATTATAAATATATTAAACCAGTTTAATACGTTAATTTCTTAGAAAAGGATTAATTTGTCAAAACAATACCCCTAGCGAGAAAAAATCGAACTAATTACTTGCCTCATAAAAAATTTTATCGGCCTAGGCCATAACAAGGTATTTCTTCATCGAATGTTGACAACAATAAAGTTTAAATTATAGACCGCGTGGAGATAAACTTTTTTAGTACTCGATTTCGATTAACTATTCCTTAAATGCTTATATAGTTACGTTAGTTTTTGTGTATTTTATCTAAGGAATCATGGTAAATAATTGTGTTTTTAATTGTAAATAAAATTCAAGAACTAAATCGTTGCATTTTCATGTTTTGCCAAAGGATCCAATTTGTTGGTGAAGAATTAACTAATGATAAATTTACCTAATATAATTTATATTTAAGTTTGGACATTTTTAATAAATTAGTAAAAAATAATTTTAGCACAAACATAACTTTAAAATCAACCATTTTTATGTTTGAGTTCTCTAAAAAACGCCAAAAACTGCACTTTAAACAACAAAATATACCTACGAATTCATGGCAACATAACATTATATATAATACGTAATATAATGGTATTTTACCGTTGAGTGGAGACTTTCTTAATAAACGCTTTTAATAATGCTAAATGCTGTTTAAATTAAGACGACCATTTGATTTTTACTGAATTGAAATGTTTACACTTTTCACGTTAATCACTACTAAAATATGTATTTATTGTATCTAATAGGTACAATTTATATTTACAGAGACTATATGCAATTCATTCATTCAGATTAACACTGTTGATTGGAAAACCGGTAAAAACTCAACCCAGGATTTCCTCTCGAAATACACCCAAGAACACAACAAATCGAGCCACGGTTTTTTTTTCTCGATATTTTTTAACATTTTCCGGCTTTATTCCCAAAACACTCGTTTGTAACATAAGCGTCTGACAGCTGATTATTAAAAGTTTTACTTTTGTTACGATGATAACAGCCGAGTAGTAGCGCTACTAGCGATACTTCTTTAGAGTTTTTTTTTTTATTGATGTACGTAAACCTAAAGAACCCATTGTGGGTTATAACAGGTACATTTTGTTTGTTTGTATATAAATAAATGTAATGTGTAAAACAATGTGCATATATATATATAACTGTATAAATAGAGAGAATATAAATATAAATATGTAAATAAATGTCTCGTTAAAGGTCTTATGACGTGACTTCTTTATGCTATTTTATCTATTTTGCAAAAGTTCTATAAAAAAAATTAATTTTATACCTTAAATTTAATTTGGTCGAATTCTACTTTAGATAGTTGGTATCACAGTCATTGGTTTGACAGTTAATGTCAAAATCGATTCGCCTTGCTGTCCTTAATTTACTTATTTACAATAAGCGGCTGTTAATGTTAAAGAAGAAAAAAAGGATTTTCTTTGGTGTTAAACAAAATTTATTGCCAGAAAAGTCTCGTAAGTACTAGAAAAATCATTAAAATATAACCAATATGCAGAGTGTTTAAACCTATAAAATCAAAATTTTGGGTGGGATAAAGTATCTCATTACAGCACCGAAAGCGGTGTTATAATGAAGTCATTATGAACAATAAATAGATAAAATTATTTATAATAATTTGTAACAAACGATGCTTACCGGCGAAATGTCAAAATTACCAAAATTACAAAGTGAACGGTTTTTTTTTCATAATTTCGTAAAAAACGTTTTAAAACAGGGAAATTGTTAAGTTCTTGGTAAACAATACGCAAATCAATTATAACACATCAGAATTACGCCTTAAAAAAAGCAAATTTAACGGATGTAACTTTACAATTCGAAGTTGGTAATGCTGACGTCATTATATCGCATTGATGACGTGCACCCATACAGATTTGGACGAGACCATATATGGTTAGTTTTTTTTTAGATCAAATTTTAGTGGCTAAATTTTAGTCTATGAACTGGACTGGAAATATAAAAAAAAACAAAAAAACGGATACCTAATTTTTTTTCAAGTCACATATCTACAAAATTTAAAAGCAGAAAATAAGTTGAACATGGTCTAAAATTTAAAATTCTTCAAAGTATTTAAAAAATATATCAATAATTTTGGTTTTATTTTATAATCCTTATTATGAAATAGTATTATCTAGGTATTATATTAAAAAGTAAACATTTGTTTTTTAATTTAAAAAAAATAAATCAATAAATATTTTCCAACAAGTTCATGTTAGGGGTAGTTATTTTACAATGAAACTAAAGAAAGTTATAAATTAATTGATTTCAAGCATTCAGCTTTTCAAGCAGACAAAAAAACAGCAAAGATGTTTGATATAATTAACATGGTAGTAATTTTATCTTTAAAAAAATGTTATTTTTTAATTATATCTTGAATTTATTTTTTCATATACAGTGTGTATTAAAACGAATAGATACACTTAAATAAAACAAGTGCCAAACCCCGCCCACTGTGGTAGGGATTGAAACTGCTGCTGGTGGTCTATTTGAACATTTTATTTAGAAAAAAAGTTATTTTCGTTATTTTAGAATTATTTTTGTTTGAGAATTTATAGGTTTTATTTTTATCGAATTCGTTTGTTTTGTTTAATGCATTTATGCAAATAAAAACTAAGTATTGTTTAAATTCCAGTTAATGGCGAAAATGTATTTCTTAAAAACTATACACATTTCCCTACGACAGCGTCGGAGCTACTGAACAAACACTGCATGCCCTTGTATCTGGCTGCATGCCGCGCTGTTGCCATATGCTATTATTGTTTCCTAAAAGGGTTGTTTTTCTTATTTTTTAATATTAAAAGTAAGAAAATTAACTAAATCAAATTATTTTTGACATATTATTAATTTTTTTGTTATTTTTAAAGTTTCAAACAAATAAAATTGAACTATTTATTAAATAATTATAATCGTTCTCTTCTGATTTAAAACAACCTGGCAACTATAGTTCGTAATTACGAATGGCTCGGTTTAAACCACGCCTAATTAAAGTTTGTTTCTTTTTCTCTGATCAGAATATAATTTGTCATCCTTGTCTCCAGCCTTACTTACTTGATTCTATACAGTCTGTATATTTACAAACAAAAATACTGTCTATTTTTATTCATATTTTAAATCAGTCGTTAACTACTGATTTAAATTATATCAACCGATTTACATTTTAGATGATTTTATTGGCCAAAAAACAAATATAGTAAACCATGACTATAATTAGCGAAATTAGTTTCTATGGTTAAAAGCAAATGTCACAAATGTCAAATAATTCTTGATGAAATTTTAATTGTTTTATGTCTAATTTAAAATGTTAATGTATAGAAATCGACTTTTTCAGGGAAAATATAAACGTTGAAAGATAATTACCCAATTTATTTTATAAAACAGCAGTTTTTAAAGAAACCTACATTCACTGATATGCTAAATCAGTTGATATAAATAAATCAACGTTCCTGCACTTTGTTTTGTTTTGGTGTTGGGGAATATTTCTAATATTTGTTTATTAATATACAGCTAAGAAAAGAAAATGTCCACATTACCTGTCCTGTTTCCCCCCCTGTTGGACTTCTGCCTCTCCAGCTCGCTTTCAATCCTCAAATTTTCCATCTCGTCCATCTCGCTTACGGCTTCCTTCAAATCTTCGGCGAACTTGCAACGATCGTGTTCGTTCCTCGCGTTAAAAGTAACTAGAATTTTTTGGTCTACACGCTGACTTAGTTGTATACCAAACTGGTAATCTGATGGACAAGGAAAACAATCAATAAAACTCGAACGTGATCACATGACGGTAATACTTACGCGCTGCCTCGAATAGAGTGACGACCATGCCGCACAACGGATAACTATTTCTAAACGAATAAGTGACTGAAGACTTTTTCTTGCTTAAAATCTTCGTAATGACCAGCAAATCGTTGAAAAGGAAAACTTCTCTTTGGTGCACGCCCGGCCTCTCCTTCTTGTTCACGTCCGGAATCTCGTACAAGCGGCAATAGCAGACCAATCTTCTGTGCGGCAGCGCCATGTTCGGTTTTTTGCCCACTATGGTCGCCTGCACCTTCATCACTTGCGTCACGTGATCCGAACCCGGTTTGAACTCGTTCGCCTTAACTCGATCGTAAATTCCATTCAACATGTCGCTATCGATGTCGTGGCAATCGTCGATTCCTCGCAGATTTTTGACGAAATCCTCCAAGCGCATCCTTCTCTCCGGCTTTATGTTCGGCGTGTGCAAGTCGGTGTTCAGCATGATGATGGCAAAAGCCAACACGAACACCTAAAACCACAAATAACATTCAACATTAAACGTAACAATTAATTAATTAAATATTCTGCAAGCATTTCTCTTATCACCGCTTTTGTTTAATTTCGTTCATGCCAGCATCGACAGACGCGTTTCGTTCTGTGGAACTCATCAGTGCCAAGTTGCTATAGGCTTGAGACCCAAACGAAAACTTTAATTCCTTTCCTTATATTGGAAAGGAATAGTTCAAAAGCGGTGAGAAGAGAATTTGCCTGCACAATGGTGCCATCTATCGTTTTTCAACGCGGTCTTCTATATGTCATGACATTATCTGTACGGGACATATAGCGTGCTTTACGCTATCTATGACCTGAAAGATGTATTTCCCTCCCGGCTAGGTAATTTCATATAGTTATCGTATTAAAAGTATTAATACTTTGCGACAAACTCGCTGTTTGTCGCAAAGTATTAATACTTTTAATACGATAACTATATGTAACAATTAATAATGATTTCTTACCGTATCTGGCGATCTGAGCCTGGCCACGATGTCCACATTGCATTGACAGTATCGCTGCGAGAAAATCTCCATGAGCCTCTCGATTTTCTGGGCTTCCCCTGGCATCCTAAAGTGCTGCTGGAACTTTCTCAACGCCCCGTCCACTTGCATTCCGGATAAATCGAGTTCGGATGCGAAACATTCCAAAACAGCCATGCAAAAAGGGTTCTGCAAGTTGCCCAAGTACTCGCCGATCATTTGCTTGGACAAGCCTTTGCGGGAAATCAAAAATCTCGCCACGCCTTGAGGGGAGTTCTCCAGGAAACCCCGTCTAATCAAGTAGGCGATACCTTTTTCCGGTTTTTTATTGAACAAGTTCAAACCGACTCTGTACTGGCGTTTCCTGATGGTCTCCGAGATTTTGTAGCTCGTCGGTGCTTGCTGATCGGGCGGTCTCTCTAACGTGTACGTCGAAGAACTCGTATTCGAAATATTGCCCAAACTTGTTTCCAAGCTCGGTTCCGCATACTCGGACATGTGGTTGCCCTTTCTTTTCCATACCGGGGACCCGGAAAACTCCTGTATTCTATCAGTGGAAATACTGCTGTCACTTCCGGAACTTTGAACGCTGGACAAAGAACCGTTCTCGTTGTTACGGCTCAAGCCGTTTTGTTTTTGCATGCGTTGCTCAATCGATCTGGACGAGATGCTCGAGGTTCTCTTCGGCACTTCCGGCGGCACTTTTCTGCTGCTAATGCTGTTCCTGGATCGCACGTAGCCGTTCGACGAGGTCGTCGGAGTGCTGCACGACGAAGGACTAGCCGTCATTTGGGCGTTGATCGAGTCGGACTTGTTGTCGGGCGCCGAATAGTAATGCTGCAGCGAAGAAGACGACGAATAATTCTCCCAGCATATTGTGGGGGTGCCCGACTGACTCCTGGGCATCGGCATGTTATCGATGTTCCTGCGCTCCCTCAAAGACATCGATCTTACGGGCAGCACTCTGGTACAATCGTGGTTCTCGAAGTTGCGCATGTACTCGCCCGAACATTGCTGTTGCTCTTGTTGCTCCTGGCTGCTTTTGCACTCCTCCTGGTTGGCCACCGGAATTCTTCGGCTCATGCGTTTGTTGTCCGCCTTCGCCATCGCCGTGATTGCTGCGAACTTTTTCAGCAGCGTGTACCGCCTAAAGGCTCTCTGGATGGTGAGAGCCGCGTTCCTCGCCTTAACGCCCCCATACTTTCGCTCCAACACTTCGATTTGCTTATCCAGGATGTCTTGCGATAGTTCGTACCTCCTGTTTAGGGCGAAAATATGCCGTGTTAATTACAGCAGCACTGAGCGTTTCGTATTCTTAAGTCTATTCAAATCCAAGCTGGACTAAATGTAAACACAATCCTCCGAATCGACCAATAAGAGCTCACAATTCGAGTCACACCATCAGAATCGACCAATAGAAACGAGTTATCACCCGTCTGGGCGTTTTTGTTTAGTCCAGCTTGGATTTTAATAGACTTTAGAAATTTGCGACTTCACTCTCTATCTAATTGGCTTATTGCTTTCCATAGAGGTCATTCGCAAATTTATTGAAACACCTCCTAGCTGTGTGAAGTAAATATGGACGGAAAATTGTGAGAGAGACAAAACACGATTCACAAAAACCGGTATTCTGGTTATGAAACGAAAACTCGACTCCGCGCATGTGACGTCACGTGCGAACCAGATTAAAATGTTACAGTTACAGTTTTGCATAGGCATACCAGGTTATTTATTAAGTTTGTGTTATATTTGTTGGACTAAATAACTATTTAAAATATGCCGGGATGTGCTGTAGCAGACAGCAGAAATATGAACGGAAACTCCAATACCCAACCTAACCTAACATTTTTTTGATTTCCAAAAAATAAAGATCTGGCAGCACAGTACATGCCAGAGAAAGGATAAAATGAAAATAAAAAATGGTAAGTAAAGGCACTTTTTGGTATACCCAATTTTCTGTTAGGTACTTATAGTAAATTTTCAACCTAACCACATATTTTTTACAGCTTGCATAAGTTTATAGTAATAATTAAAATTAAAATACAACTGTATCGGAAACCCGCTTCAAAAGTGTCACAAGTAAAAATAGTTATTTATGTCATTAGGTTAAGAAGTAAGGCTTTTTGTGCTAAGCACAATTGAGCGAAGCACAAAAAGGCACTTCTTGGCCGAATGGCATACAACATTTTATCTTCAAAGCACTTTATATAGGTCAATTTAATTCAACATCAAAGCGGCCTAACCTCACTTTTTTAGAATCCCATTTATTTATTAGCTAAAGAAGCAGTAATAGTTTGACAATACCTAGCAACATTATTTAAGTAGAAATGGATTTTTGCTATTACATTAATTAATTGTTTAATAAATAGGTAGGTATCTAATTTCAATTTGTTTGGATTTTTATTTAAAAAAAATAGGTAGTTTGGAATGTTTAAGCTGTGTTTAACATTTAATTTCACTGAAAACTTAAAGCAAATTAAAACTTAAAGATAATTTAAATCGTAGAAAAAGAATCGTGCGTTTTCTTGGTTGCCTAACCTCACTTTTTGTTTTATTATTCATATTTAATTTTACAATAATTTAATGAGAAATATTAAACATTAACATTAAAACAAACAAATTAGTGCTTATTATAAATAAATTAAACCAGTTTAGTACGTTCATTTCTTAGAAAAGGATTAATTTGTCAAAACAATACCCCTAGCGAGAAAAAATCGAACTAATTACTTGCCTCATAAAATTTTTTATCGGCCTAGGCTATAACAAGGTATTTCTTTATAAAATGTTGACAACAATAAAGTTAAAATTATAGACCGCGTGGAGATAAAAGCAGTTTTGAGATTTGTTTTTACTTTTGACACTAGTATTAAAAGCGCTTGCTCTTAACATTTGTTACACTTAATAATTGCACCATATATTTATAAATTTTCGAATATAACGTGAATTTAAAGTGCCAATAACATTCCAACCCAGTTACCCTCCAGCTTTTGTCTCGCACATGACGTCACACGGTGCGAGAGAGATAGCTATAACATGCGCATCATCATAGATAAAAAAAATTATAGAAGAAGACAAAATAAAGTCCATATATCATACCTAAAAGGCATATTTTAGGTATGGCCAAAAGACTTTAGACTTCTTTTTTATCAATATTTTAAAACGTCATCTTTTAATCATTTAAGTGCTTCATTTGGTTGATCTCTTGAGGTTTATAGGAAGTCACTTTGTTAATTAGATTCAATCCTGGATCGATGGATAATCTTGGTTAAGTACATATATAAACTGTGAAACCATAGTTTAGCAGAGAAAAGCCTTCAAGGATAACCTTGTTAGGGGGTTTAAAATAACATAGACTTAGTTGTTTTATTTTACAGAAGCAATGTCAAAGTAAAATTAAAATATGCAAATAAATTTTTAACGTGTCCACGATCAAAATTGGGTTGATAAATAATTTCTAAACAATAAGGTGAATCATTTAATTACTAATATGACATGCTTGGCAGTTGATATAAACATTGTTAAAGCGCTTTCTATCTACGACGAATAAATTAATTACACTTACGTGTTTTGTACGCGTGATCTTTTGAGAAAATCCCCGTTTCTCAGCGAGCCTTTTTTGTGCAAAGGCTGTGCGGACACAGACACGTATCCCGACGAATTGGGAGAAGGTCTGCAATAGATGGGACTGGGAGCTGGAGCCTGGTAATTTTGGGTTTGCACGAAACTCGGTGCTTGTATGTAGGTTTGCTCTTGTATGTGATCCGTTGAGCCCATGGAGTTCACGATTTGCGAACGGTCCATCTTCGGTGGGAAACTGAGGAGACAAGAAAATATTCGGTTAAACAAAGTCAAGCACATCATGAACTAAATTATTATTAAATACATTTTGCTTGATTTGCGAAATACGATTTGCAATAACAGATTCTAGTAAGCTGTTGTTTTGTTTTGATATTGTACAAATCCCACAATTTAGGTAATAAATTTTTTATGTTTTTTATCGAAAATTAAAAAAAAGTGGTGAATAGAAACCGTTCAATTAGCTTACTTATTTGCGTGACGCAAATTGGTGTAATTAAGCGTTAAGTTTTCTAAAATAAAATTAATAGAACTCTGTAGGTACCTATAATTTAATAAAAGCAGCAAAATTGAAAAAATCTATAGGCAACACAAAAGGTTTTGTTGGGTATGAATAAGATTTCATTCGGCCGAGGCATTGATCACAATAGCCTTTGACGCTTGAACGATTTTTTTAAATATATTGTGTCAGTCGGAATTTTTCTAAATAGTGTTTTGATTCATTTCAATTGAAAGATCAAAAGTTAATTAAATCAAAGCTTATTGATGAGGGCATATTTGAATTAAAATTATTCTTCCAAATCACAAATCAATATTTTTGTAAAAACCACTTACTTATTTCCCACCACAAAACCAGAAATACATATAATCATTCTAATTGTTTATCAGCACACATATGAAAAATATAGTACAATACACTTCTTGGTGGAAACGATTTCACTGCACTGAAGTACACACGTAAGGGAGCTGGCTGTTACCCTTAAGGTGGCAGATGGCGAACTGAGAAAATCAAGATGGTATTTTAAATCACAGGTATACCAAAGGAAAAAGCGAGAGAGATAAAACCATAAATAAGGCAGCAGCTGTCCGCGATTGACAGGATATTTGGAACATAAGCCTGTTGCACGTTCGCATTTCAGGTGTTTTTTTCAATAATAACACACTCGATTTTAAGCTGCCCGAAAAATTTCATTTTAAAACTTATGACGACCAAATTGCGTCACCGAATAAACTGAAAGACACAATTTTGAAATGGGCTCTTTAAAAATAGATTGTCAATTAATAAATCTATTTAAATGTTTCAGTGGAAAGACAATAAACAAGGATTACACAAAATATTTTTAACGAATGTCTCAGACAGTATCAAAAATAATGGGATTAATTACAATGTTGTTTTTCAACGATTTACTGCAAGCCATAACCCTGAATTTTAATTTATAATACAAAATAATTTAAAATGTGCATTTAATTTTTATTAAATTTAGGCCAAAGTACAGCTGTTAAAATACAGGGTCAAGGAACAAACATTTGTTAAAAAATGCGAATTTTAAAGGGTCAGAATTCGTGAAATTCATGAAACAAACATTTTAATTTTGTGTCGAAATTTCTCAAATACACTCACAGGCAAAATAATCGATCCACACAAATTTTCGATGAATTTCAATCGCAAATAACTTTTTTATTTGATTTCGGATTTAAACAAATATTAAAGAATATTGTAGATACATTAATGGAGAATCGCTCACATTTTAAAAATTACTAAAAAATACACGTACGTTTATAATATACAGGTTTAAACAAAAATATATTTTTTACCATAAGTTTAAGACACTCTGTAGAGTGGCAAAACCGTATATTGTTCTAAATTAAGTTTTAATTATCAAGTCACATCTATTTTTAACAGTTTTGCTTATGGTTCACCTTGATTTATTTATTTTTGTGGAAAATATGGATTTTTTTTTTAAACATTGCAATTTCCAATATTTTTCCGGTATGAAGAACTAAGGTTGTTATGGTCCATCCATAGCCTACGGAGGATGACAGTGACAGTTTTGTTGAATCATCCCATACTTGGACATGTCATATACAGCTTTCAAAAGCTATCAAATTGTTTTTTGTAAATGAATGTGTTAATTTTTAGGTGTCTTCTTACTTTTAAAAATGTCTCCGACTGATTTTGCCCTTTGTACTTTACTTCTTGTGACGTTTAAAACACTTGCCTCGTAATACTGTGACCGTCCATCCTGGATTAAATTAATGGCTCTGGCAACATCAGTCGGGGACATATCCATTTTTTAAAGTGAGAAGACACCTCAAAATTTAAACATTAATTTGCAAAAAAAAATTTGATAGCTTAAGAAAGCCGTGTATGACATGTCCAAGTATGGGATGATTCAACAAAACTGTCACTGTCATTCTCCATAGCATATGGATGGACCATAGCAACCTTAGTTCTTCATACAGAAAAATATTGGAAATTGCAATGTTTTTTAAAAAATCCATATTTTCCACAAAAATAAATATATCGAGGTGAACCAAAAACAAAACTGTTAAGAATAGATGTGACTTGATAAATAAAACTTAATTTAGAACAAAAAAACATCTTTTTGTTTAAACCTGTATATTGTAAACGTACGTCTATTTTTTATAAATTTTTAAAATGTGAGCGATTGTCCATTAATTTAACTACAATATTCTATAATATTCGCTTAAATCCGACATCAAATAAAAAAGTTATTTGCGATTGAAATTCATCGAAAATTTGTGTGGATCGATTATTTTGCCTGTGAGTGTAGAATATTGGTGTAAATATTAAACAAATGTCAGTATTAAAAATTATTTAATTGTGTTCAGGCAGTGTATGCAGCAGCATCCTACTTGAAGAGAAAAGGTAGAAACCGAAATTGTATGTTTTAAAAGAAAAAGTTAACGGAGGGAAAGGGGGTGGATGCATTGAAAACATTTCAGTCGGCCTGGAAAAAACATCTGCCGTTCGAATAAACGAGCATCGGTCCTTAAGGTAGGTACCACACGCTACACATGTGAGCCCAACCACCTGCCGTTACCCCCACCCTTAGGGCCCAAATCCTAACTGTCTTCTCCACTGTGGGCTTTTGAGGTACCTGTCATTTAAACTATATCTGAGTAACAAACAGTATAACTGTATATATCGCCATGTAAAAAAAAAAGTTCCTAGAGAAATGTCATGCAAAATTCATTCGTAATGGAGAGTTTATATAAGCAATTGTAACAATTGTGCACATTTCAATGAATAAGAGAATGTTATGAGGATATAAACCTTATTAACATTAAATAAATACGTGGTTATTGAATAACAAAAATATAAATAAATAGGAAGTGCATCCATTTCCTTTTAAGAAATTTAACTGTAACCTGCCTACTGGTGGAATTAATTTTGATACCTGGCACCCACGTGCACAAAATTTTCGGTACCACTTCATTATTGCCATGTCGAGCAGGTATAAGGTTACTTTGGCAAATTTAATCCACACACTACTGAATACTTTAATAATAATAATAATAATAATAATAATATGTATGTAAGTCTATCCATAAATAACTATATTTTTTAGTATTTTTATTTTTACAAACAAAGCATATTTTTAAAAAAATTACTTTTATATCTATAGTAATCGATGTTAACCCATAAAAACCTTTATTTGAATGTAGGTGCTAATATTGGATATTTACATAAATTATTCTGCAAAATTCCAATAATTCTAAAAATATTTATGACAAAATCAAGAAATATACCCACAAAGAAAAATCCTAAAAAATATACCTATGTATATATACATACACTCACAGGCAAAATAATCGATCCACACAAATTTTCGATGAATTTCAATCGCAAATAACTTTCTTATTTGATTTCGGATTTAAACAAATATTAAAGAATATTGTAGATACATTAATGGAGAATCGCTCACATTTTAAAAATTAGTAAAAAATACACGTACGATTTTTATATACAGGTTTAAACAAAAATATGTTTTTTACCATAAGTTTAAGGCACTCTGTAGAGTGGCAAAACCGTATATTGTTCTAAATTAAGTTTTAATTATCAAGTCACATCTATTTTTAACAGTTTTGTTTTTGGTTCACCTTGATATATTTATTTTTGTGAAAAATATGGATTTAAAAAAAAAACATTGCAATTTCCAATATTTTTCCTGTATGAAAAACTAAGGTTGCTATGGTCCATCCATAGCCTATGGAGGATGACAGTGACAGTTTTGTTGAATCATCCCACACTTGGACATGTCATATACAGCTTTCAAAAGCTATCAAATTGTTTTTTGTAAATTAATGTGTTAATTTTTAGGTGTCTTCTTACTTTTAAAAATGTCTCCAAATGAAGCTGCCCTTTGTACTTTACTTCTTGTGACGTTTAATACACTTGCCACGTAATACTGTGACCGTCCATCCTGGATTAAATTAATGGCTCTGGCAACATCAGTCGGAGACATATCTATTTTTGAAAGTAAGAAGACACCTCAAAATTAACACATTAATTTACAAAAAACAATTTGTTAGCTTATAAAAGCTGTATATGACATGTCCAAGTATGGGATGATTCAACAAAACTGTCACTGTCATCCTCCGTAGGCTATGGATGGACCATAGCAACCTTAGTTCTTCATACAGGAAAAATATTGGAAATTGCAATGTTTTTTTAAAAAAAATTCATATTTTCCACAAAAATAAATATATCGAGGTGAACCAAAAACAAAACTGTTAAGAATAGATGTGACTTGATAAATAAGACATAATTTAGAAGAATATACGGTTTTGCCACTCTACAGAGTGCCTTAAACTTATAGTAAAAAACATATTTTTGTTTAAACCTGTATATTATAAACGTACGTCTATTTTTTAGTAATTTTTTAAAATGTGAGCGATTGTCCATTAATTTATTCACAATATTCTTTGATATTCGTTTAAATCCGACATCAAATAAAAAAAGTTATTTGCGATTGAAATTCATCGAAAATTTGTGTGGAACGATTATTTTGCCTGTGAGTGTATATACATATTTCACCAAAGCCAGATTAAATTTGTTATTAAACCACAATTCCATAAAATTCCTGTTTTCTTTGTAGCAGAACTAAATTTGCCAGTTTATATTTGTGTCGCTGTCTGAAATAACAAATTTTTACAAGAAGTGGAGTGACGTGGATATTTATTTATTTTAATATACTTAATAAACAACACTTT